CACAGGTCTTATATCACGTTAATAGCATGTTTTATATCATCTCTCTTGGCAGGTTAGGTGTAACCCCATCAAGATATCCCTACGATAGCATAAATCCGGATTCATTGTTATCGTTTTTTTATCATTAACTTTTTTCACTTTTTTTTACACCTTTTTATTACAGTAAGATTTTGTCCACGTAAATATGTAAATTATTTGATTTTCATTTGTGTTTTTTACGTGAATTAGCGGTGTCACTCTTAAGATCTTCAAAGGCTGATAACTCACGGAAATCTTTACAGTAGCTGGTCACTCACTCCTCAGAGGCTGGTCACTCACACCTCAGAAGCTGGTTACTCACAATAACTCACTCCAGGTAAGGCTAATCAACACCTGCCACACACAGTACAGGTGTGTGTGTCGAGATGCTGTGTTCCCCACCACGGTTACCTGCTCACTGGCCCGCCCTCACGCCCGCCTGAGTGCCCACATACCCAGCCTCAATTCATCAGGCCCACTGCCCCATCCACCTGGCTACTGTCCATCCGGCTACCGTCTATCCGGCTATCGTCTACCAAACCACTGTCCATCCGGCTATCGTCTACTGTCGTTCAAGTTACTAACCTAACCTAACCAGCCGTCCAACGTCCAATCCGGCTACTGTCTACCAAGCCACTACCACTCATCTACTGTCCATCCGACTACCGTCCATTTAGCTACTTTCTATCCGGCTACCGTCTACCAAGACACTAACCACTCATCCAATGTCCATCTGGCTACCATCCATTTACCCACTGTCCATCTGGCTACCGTCCATTTACCCACTGTCCATCTGGCTACCGTCCATTTACCCACTGTCCATCTGGCTACCATCCATTTACCCACTGTCCATCTGGCTACCGTCCATTTACCCACTGTCCATCTGGCTACCGTCCATTTACCCAATGTCCATCTGGCTACCATCCATTTACCCACTGTCCATCTGGCTACCATCCATTTACCCAATGTCCATCTGGCTACCGTCCATTTACCCAATGTCCATCTGGCTACCATCCATTTACCCACTGTCCATCTGGCTACCGTCCATTTACCCACTGTCCATCCGGCTACCATCCATTTACCCACTGTCCATCTGGCTACCATCCATTTACCCACTGTCCATCTGTCTACCATCCATTTAACCCACTGTCCATCCGGCTACCATCCATTTACCCACTGTCCATCCGGCTACCATCCATTTACCCACTGTCCATCCGGCTACCGGTCCACCACCGTCCATCTGGCTGGTCCATGCACCCACCTACCGTTACCCACTGTCCATCCGGCTACCATCCATTTACCCACTGTCCATCCGGCTACCGTCCATTTACCCACTGTCCATCTGGCTACCGTCCATTTACCCACTGTCCATCCGGCTACCGTCCATTTACCCACTGTCCATCCGGCTACCATCCATTTACCCACTGTCCATCCGGCTACCGTCCATTTACCCACTGTCCATCTGCTACCGTCCATTTACCCACTGTCCATCTGGCTACCGTCCATTTACCCAATGTCCATCTGGCTACCATCCATTTACCCACTGTCCATCTGGCTACCGTCCATTTACCCACTGTCCATCTGGCTACCGTCCATTTACCCACTGTCCATCTGGCTACCGTCTATCCGGCCAACATCCACAGCTTCTCATCTCAGGAATTAAATAATAAAGTAAATATCAGAATAACATATTTCTATTAACGATCCCATACAAATATTACATAAAGACAATATTACATAATTAGATCCAACTAATTACCGTAATTACCAAACATTAATGATGATAATGATACTTCTGTCTGCCTTCCTTCCTTCCTTCCTTCCTCTTCTTCCTTCCTTCCTCCCTCTTCTTCCTTCATCTTCCCTCACTTCCCTTTACCTTCCTCCTCTTCCTTCCTTCCTTCCTCGTCTTTCTTCCTTCCTCCCTCTTCTTCCTTCATCTTCCCTCACTTCCCTTTACCTTCCTCCTCTTCCTTCCTTCTTTCCTTCCTTCCTCTTCCTTCCTCCTCTACCTTCCTTTTCCTCCTCTGCCTTTCCCCCTCACTCCTCATCCTTTCTTCCTCCTCTTCCTTCCTTCCTTCCTCTTCACATTCCTCCTCTTCCATCCTTCCCTCTACTGTCCCCTTCTTCCTATTCCTTCCTTCCTTCATTCTTCCTTCCTTATGATCCCCCTCTTCCTTCCTCCATTCTTCCTTCCCTCTTCCTTCCATCCTTCATCCTGATAAACAGTTTGTTGACAGTCCCATCATCATCCTATGGGACAGTCTTCTCCTGTAGGATATAAAGTACACGTATAACTACATAAACCTCCATAAAACTACATAATCCTACATAAACCGACATAAAACTACATAAGACTACATAAACCTACATAAAACTATATAAGACTACATAAACCTCCATAAAACAAAATAAAACTACATAAAATTAAATAAAAACTGCATACCTACATAAAACTACATAAGACTACATAAACCTCCATAAAACAACATAAACCTACATAAAACATTAAACCTACATAAAACTACATAAACCTACATGAAACTACATAAAGCCTACATAAAACTACATAAACCTACAAGAAACTACATAAACCTACATAAAACTACATAAGACTGCGTACCTACATAAAACTACATAAAACAGCATACATAAAATAAAACAACATTACATAAAACCTACATAAAACTACATAAACCTACATGAAACTACATAAAGCCTACATAAAACTACATAAACCTACAAGAAACTACATAAACCTACATAAAACTACATAAAAACTGCGTACCTACATAAAACTACATAAAACAGCATAAAACAACATAAACCTACATAAAACAACATAACACTACATAAACCTACATAAAACAACATAACACTACATAAAGCATAAAACTACAAAAACTACATACAAAACCATCTCTCTCTCTCTCTCTCTCTTAGAAAATTCTCCGGTATGGAACACTCAGGTATCAACAGGTGCCTTAATTATCTGACACGCTTACCTGACCACACCTGTTGTTACCTGCTGTCACCGGTTTATTAATAAGAATAAGAATAAGAAAAATAATAATAATTACATACATACATACATACTGTACATACATACATACATACATACAAATAAACAGACAGACAGACAGAGATACAGACAGACAGACAGACAGACAGACAGACAGACAGACAGGGATACAGACAGACAGACAGACAGATACACACCTGGAGCCTTGGTTGGTTCCAGTGTTGTACCTTATCTGTTATGACCAAGATATAGGCGGTGGTGGTGACGAGGTAACACCCAGCCGTCAGGAGGAACACCATCTGCCACGCTCCTAGAGTCTGCTGTGGAGGCCAGGTGAGATAGTGGGTGATTAACACGATGATTAACCTAACCTAACCTGACCTGACCTGAAGATTAGTCACCCCTAAGATTAACCTAACCTGAAGATTAGCCACCCCTAAGATTAACCTGACCTAACCTGAAGATTAGCCACCCCTAAGATTAACCTATCCTAACGTCAAAACAAAATTCCTTACATTATCCTACAAGATGAATCCAGTAGGAGCGAGGATACCAGCAGGAGAATCTACACCCGACAGTATTGGTCACCCCCGGCAGCATCCCCAGGGGCTATAGTCACTCTGAAGTGCACACCGACTACTGCTGCTGCTTGATCTGGTCTCTGTTTACCACCCTAACTCCCTCCCTCCCTCCCTCCCTACCGTCTCCTCTTCTCTCACTCTCTCCTGTCCACCTCTCTCCCTCCTCCTTCTTTCTCAACCTTTCCCTCCCTATTCCACTCACCCTCTCCCCACCATCACCCCATCCATTCACCTCATAAACCCCTTCAACACCCCCACCCTCACCCCACACCTCTACTACCCCCCACAACACCCTCTCCTTTACTCCTCCCCCCCTTCCCCTATGTTCCTCAGACAGATTAAGCAGCCATTCCACGTTATCATTAATTTAAGCATTTACCATTCCTAAAATCCTCTCTCTCTCTCTCTCTCTCGTCTGGTTGAGGGTATGGTGGCAGTGGCAACTTTCACCTCGGTATTCTGGTTGTTGATGCTCTCCTCCCCACCAATGGTTGACTGGTGGACACTCCCATAACTGCGGTGGAAACAGGGCAGGAATCCTTCTCATACTGAAGGTACAGTACTACCCCGTCAGGAGGAGCTGGCGGCTGGATGCGTCAAGCCCCCTCCCCCCCTCCCTTAGATGGTACTGAAATAAGCCACTAACCCATCCGTGTAAACAAAGGCTTATATAAAGGATAAAATTAGGTTAGGTTAATAATGCTTTTGGTTACTTATACTTTGCATTATTATTATTATGTGTTTTATCCTTTATTTATACATACCAACTTGAATGTTATCACCACACACACACACTAATGATGATAATAATAACACTTACTGTTATCAAGAACTGTGGGGGAGGAGGAAAATGTAAAGAAATTATATACATATTATTAATGGTAGTATTTATTGACATGTGATATATTTACAATTTACTCGTGCAAAATAAAAGTACCAAGACTTGTGGTTACGTTCCGGCACAAATTAAGCCTTGGCCTGTGTTAGATCACATGTATAAGCGCCATCAACACCAGAGGTCATAACTACAGGCTCGCCAAGTTATCATGCAGGAATTATTTCTTAACACAGAGACTGGTTGACCTATGGTATAGTCTGCCAGCTTAAACTATGGCATCAACAACAGTACTGGGCTTTAAAATATCCCTTAATAAAACTAACAAAAACAATGAAGGGATTCTATTTAGTCCATTGGCCACCTTCTGTCGGTATGGCCACCTCTAGTGTGTGGCCATCCGGTAATTGAGGTCTTAACAGTGGTCGTGGAGCAGCTTGTCGTCTCCGTCAGCAGACAGATGACGTGTGGTAGTCGTCAGGTTGTCAGGGTCGTCCTCGCCACTGGCCACGTCTGAGGTAAACCAAAGAGAAACATTGATTCATTCGTTCCTTAAGACGCGTCACACCTTGAACACGCAGGTAACTTAACAACCATTACCAGCAGTTAAGTCATTGTTGTAACTTAACTGTACCCTACATAACTGTATCCTATGCCCACCTATAGACTGGGGATCATTCCAGGGCTGAACGTCTGCTGTAGTGAAGATAAGATAGAAGGTACAGCAACACAGGTAAAGACCCACACTAATGAGGAACACCTGTCGCCACGCCCACACGGTCTCCTGAAGGTGGAGTTAGGTTATGTTAGGTTAATGTAAGATTGTTTGTATTCTTCATGATCTCTTTTTTATATTTAAATTATTTCACACACGGACACTCACTCACACTCACACACACACACACACTGACGCTCACTCACACACACACACTCACATCACCCTGAATGAGGAACCCTGTGACGGTAGGACTGATAATCCCAGCTAAGGCCCCGACAGTATTGGTAACTCCCAGCAAAGTCCCAGCAAAATTAGGCGCCAGATCCTGATGAGAGCACATGTACCCACTGTTGACGGCCCCGTTCAGCATCCCACACACACACAGCAGCACCACCGCCACCACAGCGTCACACTGCACGAATAACATAGCTCCCAGGCCCAACATTGGTCCATACAAGGCTGTGAAGAGAGAGATGGGGTGAGTGGTGATTGTTGTGTTTTGGGAGTCAGTCTGTCTGTCACACCTGATACATTCCACGTTTAAGTCCATACCGAGTCAATATTTAGACACATAACAGACCAAGAGGAGGAGAGACTCACACACGGCCGTCGAGAGCTTCCTGACGGCGAGGATAGAGAGGGCGCCGTTCTTGGTGAGTGTATCCATAAGAGCAGCCCAGCCAAGACTCCACAACCACATCAGGAGGTAAGGCAGAGCTGATAAGAGTCCGTACTGTGTGTGTGGAGGTGAGGTGCTGGTATAGTGATGTACTCTTGTTAAGTGACTTTGGAAATTTACTTGTATGGATATTTTACCTACTTTCTCTTCCTCCCTCCTACCGTCCCTCCCTCGCTCCTTCCCTCCCTCCTACCGTCCCTCCCTCGCTCCTTCCCTCCCTCCTACCGTCCCTCCCTCGCTCCTTCCCTCCCTCCTACCGTCCCTCCCTCGCTCCTTCCCTCCCTCCTACCGTCCCTCCCTCCTACCGTCCCTCCCTTACTCTCACCGACCTTGGCCTGTCCAATGCTGTACTTAAAGACTTTTAAGTCAAAATCATGAACTCTGATCTAGAAGAACTGAGAAATGCAGAGACCTGGCAATTGTAGCATTAGTAAATACGACAAATTTTGTGACAAGAGGTACCGGTATGGCCAGCATAAGGACAGAACTAGACAATGTGATGTAGTCGTGGCTAGAATAAAGCCCCGTCCACACGATCGAGCAGTGCCCGGCGGGCTTTGCCCTTTTACCGGGCAAAGCCTGTGTGTTGTTGTACACACGGGGGTGGTTGGCGGCAGTCATAGTCGTGCGCCGGTAGCTAGTAGGTGGTCGACAGTGGCGGGTGCGGTACGATCACCATGGTGTGTCGCAGGTATAATCACCGGACAGTTAAAGCGAAGAGCATAGCGTTATGTACTATAGTAATTGCTGCTCTGAGCAAAAAGAAGAACCAAATGCAGAAAAGGGAATGGTGCAAAGAGTGGTTAGGTCGAAGGAAAGTATTGGGAAGTCATGCCACGATTTTACGTGAGCTACAAGATGGACATGAGCAAGACTTCACCAATTACATGAGAATGGACCCCAACACCTTTAACAAACTTCTAGCGAAAGTGGAACCATATATAAAAAAACAGGATACCATTATGAGGGAGAGTATATCTGCAGAGGCTCGTCTAGAGGCAACGCTCATATATCTTTCAACTGGGTGCACCTACACGTCACTTCAGTATAGAACGAGGATATCAAAACAAAGTTTGTCTGGCATAATACCTGCAACTTGTCAAGCCATGTATGAAGTACTCAAGGAAGATTACTTGCAGGTGAGATTTGTAGTCCATAAAAATTCATTGAATAATGTTAGAATTATGATATGCATAGACAGGAAGCTATGGGACTAGAGCGGCAGGAACGAAGAACACACACGAATGTCCTCATTACACAATACATAAACAATCTCCCGTTTATTGTCACGCCAATAATGTACATTGCATAAGCTTATTTGGTTATACACTGGACATATGAACCGAGCGGGAAACATAGACGTATCACATTTGCAGTACTTAACTCAGGTTTCACAAAGTGCTAGCAAACGTTCTGTCAGTATCTCTGTTCACACCTCACCGACTTGAGGACCCGACCCCCGAGGTCAGCGGTGGCGTAGTGATCAGCTGTTTTTGACAGTCACGTGAGGTTCCAATAATATCACGTGTCTTGTATTGCAGGCTTGTGTAATGTTGAATATTAATGACAATTTTATAGGAATGTCGGTTTTCCGGTTATATCGTTTGTCTGGCAGAGTCGTCGCTCCATATCCGGCAGCAAACCACCAGGCAGGCCGCCCAATTTTGCCAGATAACGGGCATTTAGCACGTGCCCGCCGGGCACTGCTCGATCGTGTGGACGGGCCTTTATGCTAGGATACAGACACATCTGGCAAGTTAGTAACGCTGTACCCATACCGGCACACTCAGCATGTAAACTTTGTGATAAACCTTCAAAGCATACACTTGAACACTATATTATTGAATGTAACACTGTCAAAGACTTCAGGCCACCTGGCTTATTGTATCATGAACTTTGTAAATACTACAATGAATCAGGGGTGCTTGAGGACATTCTTGCTGTTTATCCCAAATTTGCTGCTGGTCCACACTGATTAGTCCTCAATAGCATATAACTTCTACTGTATATGAACCTCTGTCCTGTGTGGCAGTGAACAGTGATACCACCCTCAGAGTCAAGACCTGACTCAATTACTCACAATAAGCAAACTGTACTCCAAGCTTTACCAATATTATCGTTAAACTAAATAATGTCCCTCCCTTCCTCCCTCTCTCCCTCCCTCCCTTCCTACCTAACTGCCTCCTTGAACTCCCTGGCTAACACTACTGTCATCTCCCTCCCTTCCTCCTCAGCTCTCAGACTCACACTGTTGAGGTCATAGTGCAGTACGTCATGGAGGTAGGTGGGCAGCTCGGTCAGTAAGGTGTAGAAGCTGTAGTCGTTCCCAAGACTTGTGGCCACCAGCGCCCAGAACGGCAGTGACGTCACCACGGCCTTCCAGGGGATAGCCACGGTCTGAAATCAATTTTATGGGTAGAAAATATTACCTTTCCTAACTAAACGAACCTAACTTAACCTAACCTACCCTAAACTAACTAAACTAACCTAACCTAACCCAACATAACCTAACCTAACCCAACGTAACCTAACCCAACATAACCTGTTTTCTAATTTGATATTAATTAAACGTATAACATTCTTTTAGTTATTTAGATATTTGACTTATTAATTTGTTTAATAATATAATTTACTTAAGAGAACCAATTATCTTATTTTTAACATTGTCTAATAGCATTCATGATTCTCAGAGATTCTTAAGTTAAGTCTGAACAAATAATTTAATATCCTAACTGACTCACATCACCACCAACACTAATATTATCATTCAGTTCAAATATCAAACACTGAAGATATTTACGTTACGTCACAATAATCATGATAATATTCTTGGGTTAAAAACCATCATTAATTATTAACACAAGAGAATATTACCTTCATTAGTATTAGCCTTGGATGTGTTTGTTTACATCATGTCAACAAATGATGATCTTAAGAGAGAGAAAAGTTATCGTTTAGCCTCCTGCCTGAGCTCCTGACCACCTCAGTTCCCTACCCACCTGAGCACCCCACCCACCTGAGCACCTGCCCCCCTCAGCACCCCACCCACCTCAGCACCCTGCCCCCCTCAGCACCCCACCCACCTGAGCACCCTTGACTGAGCTCTGATGCTCCTGAAGGTCTCTCAGATCGGAGGGAGAGACCTGGGGGTGTTGCTCGGGCCTCTCGTACACCCAGACACACCAAGCGAAGCCCCAGGCCAGGCCCAGCACCCCGAACACATAGAAGGTAGACGGCCACCCTCCCAGGAACTTAAAGGATACAAGCCAGCCACTCACGGTCATTCCCACCACCGTGCCTAGCTGGAACCCTGTGTGTGTACGGTAATAACTACAACAGCAGTAATAATAATAATAATAATAATAATAATAATAATAATAATAATAATAATAATCACTAACAACACCAATACCCCAATAATAGTGTATGGGACGGTGCCAGACATAGGTAGTGTGTGTGGGGGGAGTGCCAGACATAGGTAGAGTGTGTGGGGGAGTGTCAGACATAGGTAGAGTGTGTGGGGGGAGTGCCAGACATAGGTAGTGTGTGTGGGAGTGCCAGACATAGGTTGAGTGTGTGAGTGTCAGACATAGGTAGTGTGTGTGGGGAGTGCCAGACATGGGTAGAGTGTGGGGGTGCCAGATAGGTAGACATGGGTTGAGTGTGTGGGGTGTAGAGTGTGGGAGGAGTGAGACATAGGTAGTGTGTGTGAAGTGTCAGACATAGGTTGAGTGTGTGGGGAGTGCCAGACATAGGTAGGTGTGGGGTGGAAGTGCCAGACATAGGTAGTGTGTGTGGGAGTGTCAGACATAGGTGTGTGTGGGGGTGTAGACATAGGTAGAGTGTGTGGGGAGTGTCAGACATAGGTAGAGTGTGTGGGGGAGTGTCAGACATAGGTAGGTGTGTGGGGGGAATGTCAGACATAGGTAGAGTGTGTGGGGGTGTCAGACATGGGTAGGGGTGGGGGTGTCAGACATACGTAAAAATGTGTGAGAGGTGCCAGACATAGGTAGTGTGTGTGGGGAGTGCCAGACATAGGTAGAGTGTGTGGGGGAATGTCAGACATAGAGTGGTGTGTGGGGGGTGTCAGACATAGGTAGAGTGTGTGGGGGAGTGTCAGACATAGGTAGAGTGTGTGAGAGTGTCAGACATGGGTAGAGTGTGGGGGGGTGTCAGACATAGGTAGAGTGTGTGGGGTGTAACATGGTGTGTGGAGGTGCCAGACATGCAAGAGTAATGAGAGGTGTGAACATAGGTAGAGTGTGTGGAGAGTGCCAGACATAGGTGAGTGTGTGGAGGAGTGCCAGACATAGGTAAGTGTGGGGGAGTGTCAGACATAGGTAGAGTGTGTGGGAGTGTCAGACATAGGTAGAGTGTGTGGGGGGAGTGCCAGACATAGGTAGAATGTGTGGGGGAGTGTCAAACATAGGTAGAGTGTGTGGGGGAGTGCCAGACATAGGTAGAGTGTGTGGGGGGGGTGTCCTGACCTGAGAAAGCTATTGTAGAGAACTTGCTCCGCTCTGCAGGCAGGACCCAGGTAGCAAGCATCGTGTTGATGGCCGGGAAGGTTACCCCCTGGAACACAGAGGACCCAGGTAGCAAGCATCGTGTTGATGGCCGGGAAGGTTACCCCCTGGAACACAGAGGAGAGCTGGAGGTGTTGGTACTTGGCGACTGTACTGCATATACCAGGTCCTTCACATCACCACTCCTCACCACTACTACTATCACCCAACCTACAACTACTCACTTGTACCACCACAGGCCCTTCACACAACCACCTACACCACCACCACTCACCACCACCACTCACCTGTACAATTCCCAGCAGTATCCTACACGCCATAAAGACCCGGACGTTAGCGCGGGCACAGACGGGAGAAATCAGTGATATAAAACTTGAAGTAATGATCCCCATACCAAACACCATCTTCCCCCCCAGGTACTCGCTCGCCCGCCCTCCGATGATGTTGGTGGTCGCATAGCCCCAGAAGAATGCCCCTAGGAGCACCCCTTGAGTCTGCTTATCCCACTGAAATTCACCTTTCTGGGATAAAAAAAAAATCCTTAATTACACAAATAATGAAATGGTTGGTTTATTTACTTCATTATAAAGGGAGTGTGATATAGTTAGTGAACTATCTATATAGCGGACTTATCTCTATATAATCCGTTAGATAGGGGTTTCGTATTTAACGGATCCTCGATATAGCGGACTTTCACCACCATATAGTTCATTAGATTAAGATTTCATATATAGCAAATCCTCTACATAGCGGACTTTCACCACCATATAATCCGTTAAATAAAGGTTCCACTATACCGACCTCAGGAGTAATGACAGTCGAGTTGTAGTGATTAGTGCCAGGACAGGCGTGAGTGGTGGTGTTATCATCATCTGTTGCACCAGCCATGGTCACGATAGCAACAGAGAGATTCACCCGCTGACAGTATTCTAACAGTATGCCCAGACAGCCCATGACAGCAACAGTGTGACGAGGAGTCCACCAACAACCTGTCATGTATGTCAAGTAAACTGTCATACACCTGTTTTATAACCTAAAAACAAACTATCACACACCTGCTATAAGTGACAATGAATAAATTAAAAGCAACCTGTCGCACACCTGACATACACCTGGCATAGATATCAAGCAACTACTTAAAAAACAAAGATTATTTATGACTCTCTAGACGTGAATAACTTATAAATAAATGTATAAACAAATGAATAAATGATAAATATATATAGACGAATTAATAAATAATAAATGTATAAACGATTGAACAAGATTGACTCACGTTTTGGGTGCCTCAGTAAAGGTCTTTGTTCACTGGAGTGTGAAGCACATGAGGAGAACATGGTTACCTCTTGAGTGGCTGGGTCTTCTTCGGTCACTGTTGAAACACACACGGTACTGTTTGACACATATGGCACCGTTTTGACACATATGACAGTATCTTAAGATTTTCAAGGTGCTAGGAATTTCATGCCAGATATATAATAATGATAATAATAATAATAATAATAATAATAATAATAATAATAATAATAATAATAATAATAATAATAATAATAATAATAAGTTTCTTTTAACTATCAAGTGCCTGTCCAGTCGTCTCTTATTTATATAGACATAAATTGAAAAAATATACAAATTTTTCTTATACCCTAATCGACGCCCCTGTGTATTCTCATCACAGGATGGTAAGAAATTGTCTCCTAGTCAAATGACAATATTTATCTCAGTGAATCAAGCAGAAACTGGTAAGAAATTTTTGGTACATGACACCAGGAAATATACAGGGTCTGTGTCATATGAGCCTCAGTCAGATCAAAGAAGTGGGCTTTTGGAGATCTTCAAAAAATTTCAAAACAGCTACAGTGTCTTGATCTATCTCTGAAAGATGCTGCACATGTGGTGGTGCTGGGGTCCCCTCCCCCACCTAGTCAATCTCCACAACCAGGACCTTCCTCATCAGAATAAAGTGAGTATCCTCATTGAGATATGTAAATTAACATTTTACCTTCCCATAAATGTTCCTAATATTGGAAAATATTCCAAACGGTTATAATCATAGTCTGGACCTAAGCTAGTGGAGCCTTGTATGCATCGTCACCTCCCTCTCCGCCTCCTGCTCGGGTATTCAAGCTCGGCGTCGCATTCTGGATTGATCAAAAGCCGTTTTTTCTTAAAACCAGTTTTTGTGATATAGTCCAGAATGTGACGCCGATAACCCACCAAACTCCACCCCTCGAGAGTTGACTCTTGTTAACTGCTCGCTCTGAGGCAAGAGATGACGGTGGCAGCGCGTGTGGTGGAGGGTGCGGGAGGGGGTTTTGAGAACTGCAATTAAATGCCAGGTAGCGACGTGTCCTCCTAATATTAAATAATTATTAGATGTTTTAATTGCGTGCATGTTGACCTGGCGAGTTATTGCTAGGCATTAACATACCTAAGTATAAGCTAGGCGTCGCAACCTGGACTATATCACAAAAACTGTTTTTTAGAAAAAACGGCTTTTCTATTAACAAATGTACAGCCGGTTTCATTTATACCTGGTACAATGGCCAGTAAATTTTGAGAGATGTGGCACCACTGTGGCATGTTTATAAGAACATAAGAAAATAAGGAGTCTGCAATAGGCCGGTTGGCCTGCGCATGGCAGCTCCTGTCGATAGTTACTGCCACTCTCTATCATCCATGAATCTATCTAGCCTCCTTTTAAAACTTTCCAGCGTTCCAGCACTTACTACAAAGTTGCTAAGCTTGTTCCACTCGTCCACCACCCTATTTGTGAACCAGTTCCTTCCTATCTCCCTCCTAAACCTAAACTTATCCAAACTTTAATCCGTTGCTCCGAGTCCTATCCTGCTCGGATATTATAAGAACTTTATCTATATCCCCTTTATTGATTCCTTTCACCCACTTAAATACTTCTATCATATCTCCCCGCACCTCCCCGCACCTCCCCGCACTCTTCGTCTTTCTGGTATCCCTAGTCTGGTCACTATTATGAGGTTCCTTAAGGGCCATTCTGGGAGTTTTAATACGATGTAAACAAACACAGTGGTGCCACATCTAACAAAACGTCCAGCCATTGTACCAGGTATTAATGAAAGTGACTGTACTGAACTATTAAACCAGAACAATATTTGTAAAGCTTTTGTACACTAGTTATTAAAGTAGATGACTGCCATTAACGTTTCCAGTCGTAATGTTTTCCACCAGTCTATCAGATACACTCACCATTTCCAGTCACAGTCCTTATTATCACACACTCATCTGACTGGTCACTGCACCACTTAAAAATACTGTTTTTACACTTAGTTCAGTACTTCTTATACAGTCACAACTACCAGTCACAAACCGTTCCTCCTGTCGGTTGACTGTGTACACCACTACTGTGCGTCAGGTAACCATGATAGCCAAGTGTTAACGAGACAATGGCGGCGGTTCACCTTATCATGACCACTCTTCCGCTGATACCTGTACCACTGCACCAGGTCCCACTGTATTGGTGACGTAACGCTGTAACTGGGTGTTGTATGGTACGTAACGCTGTGACACTAAGGCAGCCGTTACTGTAGATGAATGACGTGATGGTCTAAATATTTTACTAAGTTCCTTTATAACTATACACACCCCCCCCCCACCCACGTGTCTAAGAGCCTCAATAACTATGTAAATTAAGGTGAAATTCTAAAGGATACATTTAATTAACAATCTTTATAAATATCTTCTTTGATCACAAGCAGCATGAATAATTTGTTACAGAATATTCATTATACATTTACATCATAATAAATATTTACAACACTTACGAAACACAACAATACCCCCACATTACACATTTTCTTCAATAACTTCAAAAATATTCTATAAGTCTCGCCTTTTGAGGGATATAAACACAGTGTGGGATCAACATCAACTATAATTCAACTTAATATAGTTGTTTATGTAGGCTGATCATGTTACCCAGGTTACCACGACCCTAGACTGGACGATCATGTTTGCTAGGTGACCACGACCCTAGGCTAAATGATCATGTTGCCCAAGTGACCACGATCTTAGGCTAGATGATCATGTTAGGCAGGTGACCACGATCCTAGGCTAAATGATTATGTTAGGCAGGTGACCAGGACCCAATTTTACTGCCCCTATCAGGATACATTATACAAACATACAAATAACATGGCCACAAACACATGGCCACAAACACATGGCCACAAACACACCGGGACTGGATTCTTAGAACCACACAGACAGAGATGGTGGACGGAAGCAGTTACCGTCATCAAGCGACCTCACTAGCGATCACGTCTGTCTTCCTCTCACCTGACAGATAAACAAACAGACAGTGAGCCATACAGAAGCTCTATGTTATCTTTCTATTTGTTATTTACGGGTATTGTTCCATCTATCACCCCCCCCCCCTTAATGTGAACCCTTTATGAACCCTTATGAACCCCTTCTGAACCCTTATGAACCCCTTCTGAACCCTTATGAACCCTAATGACCCCTTACGAACCCCAACCAGATGTAACGAGACTGACCCATGTTGTTGTGTCGATGGTTCCAGGGTTGGACGTCGGCGGTGATGAAGAAGAGGTAGAAGGTGGCGGTGATGAAGTAGACCAGTGATGACGTCAAGAATACTGTCCTCCACGCGGCCAGAGTTTGCTGTCACGACAAAACAAGACATTAGATGAGGGGGCTGTCTCCTTACTCTGTCTGTAAAGAAAAACGTTTACAAATTGATGTGGTTACGTTATCCTCCTCTATTCCATTTACCTTCTCAACAACTTCCTCTTTCTAGCATTGAAATCTCTTGTCTCCCTCTCTCCCTCCCTCCTTTCCTCTCCCTCCTTCTCTCTCTCCCTCCCTCCCTCTCGTTCACTCTCTCGCTCACTCTCTCTCTCCCTCCCTCTCCATCACCTTACATTGTTCTGGGTGACGGCGCCGACGAAGATAGGAGCCACAACGCCCATAAGAGAGGCCCCGGTGTTGGTGAGGCCCAGCAGCGTGCCGGCGAGATTAGGCGCCAGGTCTTGATGGGAACAAAAGTGCCCACTAATGATGGTTCCATTGAGACCCACCACTAGACACAACACCACTACAGACAGTGTTGAGGAACAGTTGACGAAGCACATCCCCACCAAGCCCAGACCGGGGCTATACATGGCTGCAACAATGATTGAAATGGATAAATTAAATATCCTGCCATGCTTAATGTTATTGTGTTTTAGTTGATTTAATATACACGAATACTTTGATAATTTCTATACCGTTCCAATATTTTTTTTTTACGTTTAGTTTGATGTATAGATGACAACTATTAGTTACACCAGCGTCAGTATCCTGGTGAAATGGTGTGAAGTTTGGTCGTTCTGTTATTTTCTGAGGTTCACCGTCACTTGTTTACATGTAGTGAGAGCATTAATGGACACTTGTATGAACCTGTGAACAAGGGGAGGAGCTCTATACTCACCCACCGCCTGGGAGAGCCTCCTCACGCTCAGGATGGAGAGGGTGTTGTTGGCTGTCAGTTTGTCCATAATAGCTGCCCATACCAGCCCCACTAACCACATCACCAGGTAGGGCGCCGCAGACAACATTCCGCTCTGTCAGGGTAAACAATAACTCTTTAAAAAGTATTCCAACATTGTCTGCCGAAGGAAGTAACACAGTACACACATCCTTGTCAACAAACTTAACCTAAGACTGTCAGATTACGATTATTTGTTATGAATTTTAAAGAGCATTTTGTCCACTTAGGTAACATTATGATGAAGTTAGTAATAGACAATAACAGCTTCAGTCCTTTCAAAAATCTTTAAAAAATTATATATATATATATATATATATATATATATATATATATATATATATATATATATATATATATATATATATATATATATATATATATATATATATATATATATATATATATATATATATATATATATATATACTAAAGGTTTAAAATCCCTTTATATAAAACCCTTTTCACCTCCGCGTTTGTGTTCTCGAAGTAATCAACAGATGCGTTCCAGAATCAGTAAGTTAAAAAACGTCAAAGTCAACTATTGAGTCTTATAACTTTATGTTCCTCAACTCACAGAGTCCACCTCAATGTGTTGGATGTTCTTGTAGTAATTTGGCATCTGGTAGAGCAATAGAGAGTAGCCCATGTCATCCCCCATGCTCACCAACAACACTGCCCAGAACGGTACAGACGTCCACACGGCGGTCCACGGGATGGGTACAACCTGGTAGCATGATGGACACTTGTACCACTTGTTCAGTTTAATATCATATAAACATCGGTTGGGTTGGGTTTGCATAAACACGTTATTTAAGAAAGATTTTTACCATATTGGTGAATTCGTAATAGTTAAAATGTAGACACAAAGTTTCTGGAAATTCCACTCAAAAACAACTTAACTAGAATCAATTAACGAAATAACTGCTTCTGATTCTGATATTAATGATTCTTATTTGTGCTGATTTAATAGATTGTATTAATTCTTCTTTGTTTTGATTTTTATTCTAATTGACTCTGACCACGACACAAGTAAACAAATAGTTTACCTCATCACTTTTCACCGTGTGTTGGTGGGCGTTGATGTACCGAAGTTCTGCCTGGGAGATCCACGGATGGTGTTCTGGGCGGTCACGTACCAACAAGAACCATACCGCGCCCCACACCACGCCCAGCACCCCAAAGATGTAGAACACAGACGGCCACCCACCCAGGAACTCCGAGGAACACAGCCACCCACTTGTCGACAGAGCAATCACTGGGCCAAGCTGGAAACCTAGAAGTGATAATGAACTCAAAGATCTGCGACACGAGGCTGAAATTGGCAGCGTTTGGAACCTAAAAGTGTTTGGAACCTAAATTAAAGTGTTTGGAACTTAAAAAATAAGTGTTTGATACTTAAGTGTCTGAAACCCGAAACAAAATGTGTCTAAAAGTCAGGTTTTCAGAAGTCGAATTATTTCGCTATCCAGTATATAAAAAGACGCTTAATATATTTCGGTGTTCAGGGATCCCAGTAAACATTCTTCATTTCAACTTTTGTGGCACATTTGACTTAACATCCCGCTGCCTCTCCTCCCACCCTGACCTATTTCTCCTCCCTCCTAAGGCCTCCCTAACTCTCTTTACCACCAAAAACTTACATCCCGTCCTTTCCCACTGCCTCTCCTCCCTTCCCGACCTATTTCTCCTCCCTAACTCCCTATGCTCTTCCTTACCGCCAAAGACGATGGTAGAAAACTTGCTCTTCTCGGCGGGCGGTACCCAAGTGGCCAGCAACGTGTTCACGGCTGGGAAGGTCACCCCCTGTAACAAAGGCCATTCTAGTGGTCTGTCACCTGTATAACACCAGCAAATATACCGTAACTTCTCACTTAACACAGTCTCTCACCTGCATCACGCCGACCAGGGCCCTTGAGATAGTGAAGAGGAGGAGGGAAGTCCGGGCACAGAGAGGACCCAGGAGGGAGAACACGGCTGAGAGCACCAACCCCAGCCCGAACACTAACCGACCCCCCAGGTGCTCCGCTGCCCTGCCCCCCAACGCGTTGCTAACAGCGTACCCCCAGAAGAAGGACCCCAGCACCAGTCCTTGCGTCCACTCGTCCCACTCAAACTCCCCTTTCTGGGAGTAGATGAATAGGACTCACTCACTCGTTACTCGCCAACTACACTCATGTATTGTGGATTTTTTCATGAATTCATTTTTATTTCTGGTAAGTTGTTTCACCAATTTCAACGTGGAAATCACAACCCACGTGAAAATAGAGACTTTAATGTTTGATTGAAACATTGGTTTGGTTAAGGGGGCAGTGACCACAACTCTACACACCTGCCACTTTCATTAAATATCAACAAAGGTTAATTAATAGAAGGATGAGCAGCGTTAAACTCAGGCTCTCTAGGGCACCTCCTGGATCCTGTAGAAGTACTTACTGGTATGTGGTAGAAGGAGGAGTACTGCTGGGGGCGATGGCTGGGTGTTGACAAAGGACAAGCATCCGTCAGGTTGGTGGAATTGCTGGTGGTGGTAAAGTTGCGGTGGACCACCATAGCCACTATGGTGATGGAGAGTGATACCCGTATATTGTACAAGACCGTTATGCCCACCATCCCCAATATAGCCAGGGTGTGTCGCTGTCCCCAACACTCTCCTGGAAACACAAACCGTATAAAATTGACGTCTAGTTCATGGTTATGGCCTGTATACTTAATACATGCCATTCACTGCATCATACTAACTCTACAACTCGTAAGTACACAATCAACATTAACTCACCCAACATTGTACACTCAAAGAGATAACGGTTGGGGTAACATTCTAACATGCTTGGTCTGGTCTGAGCGTTTAAACTCCAGAATAAACATGACAACATATAATTATGAGATTTTTCCTCTTCTGACACAACAAATTTAATGTTGAAAAATAGTTTAAAAGTTTCAGGAGATTATAAGCATTAGGACACTATAAGACAACAATTAAACATTAAAACATAGAACCTATACGCCTTTAAATATCACAAAACACAATCACCATGGCTATAGTCTTTAATTATAGCACAATATAAACACTGATATATAGATTTCACACTACTATACCGATACATCACTATAAAAAAGAACTAGTCAGGCTTATAGTCCCTCTCACCTTTGAGCACGTCGTCATCACCGTCATCCGGGTAAGGAGAGGCGCCACGGGGTCCTAACCTGACGTAACCAAACTCTCCCTCTGAGTACACGTCAACCGGGAGGTCCTGTCCCTCCCTGGCCTCTGTCTGGCTCACACTGGCCTCCGGCATCTGGTTCACACTGTCCTCCGGCATCTGGTTCACACTGTCCTCCGGCATCTGGTTCACACTGTCCTCCGGCATCTGGTTCACACTGTCCTCCGGCATCTGGCTCACACTGTCCTCCGGCATCTGGCTCACACTGTCCTCCGGCATCTGGCTCACACTGTCCTCCGGCATCTGGCTCACACTGTCCTCCGGCATCTGGCTCACACTGTCCTCCGGCATCTGGCTCCACACTGTCCTCCGGCATCTGGCTCACACCCTCCTCCGGCATCTGGCTCCACTGTCCTCCGGCATCTGGCTCACACTGTCCTCCAACATCTGGCTACACTGTCCTCCGGCATCTCATTCACACTGTCCTCCAGCATCTGGCTCACTGTCCTCCGGCATCTGGTTCACACTGTCCTCCGGCATCTGGTTCACTGTCCTCCGGCATCTGGCTCACACTGTCCTCCAGCATCTGGCTCACACTGTCCTCCGGCATCTGGCTCACACTGTCCTCCAACATCTGGTTCACACTGTCCTCCGGCATCTCATTCACACTGTCCTCCAGCATCTGGCTCCTGTCCTCCGGCATCTGATTCCACTGTCCTCCAACATCTGGTTCCTGTCCTCCAGCACCTGGCTCACACTGTCCTCGGCATCTGGTTCACACTGTCCTCCAACATCTGGACACTGTCCTCCAACATCTGGCTCACACTGTCCTCCGGCATCTGATTCACTGGCCTCGGCACCTGGCTCTGTCCTCCGGCATCTGGTTCACACTGTCCTCCAACATCTGGTTCACACTGTCCTCCAACATCTGGCTCACTGTCCTCCGGCATCCTGATTCACACTGGCCTCCGGCACCTGGCTCATCTGGTTCACCTGTCCTCCAACATCTGGTTCACTGTCCTCAACATCTGGTTCACACTGTCCTCCAACATCTAGTTCACCTGTCCTCCGGCATCTGGCTCACACTGTCCTCCAACATCTGGTTCACACTGTCCTCAACATCTGGTTCACACTGTCCTCCATCTGGTTCACCCTGTCCTCCGGCATGGCTCCACCCTCACATCTGGCATGTCCTCCAACATCTGGCTCACACTGTCCTCCAGCATCACACTGTCCTCCGGCATCTGGTTCTCCACACTGTCCTCCGGCATCTGGTTCACACTGTCCTCCAACATCCTGTTCCCTGTCCGGCACCTGGCTCACCTGTCCCAACATCTGGTTTCCTGTCCTCAACATCTGGTTCACACTGTCCTCCAACATCTGTTCCTGTCCTCCAACATCTGGTTCACACTGTCCTCCAACATCTGGTTCACACTGTCCTCCAACATCTGGCACACTGTCCTCCGGCATCTGGCTCACACTGTCCGGCACCTGCTGGCTCGTCCTCCACATCTGGCCACCTGTCCTGCTCACTGTCCTCCAACATCTGTTTCCACACTGTCCTCCGGCTTTCTGGCTCACACTGTCCTCCAACATCTGGTTCACACTGTCCTCCACACCTGGCTCACACTGTCCTCCTGCATGGCTGGCATGGCTCCACACTGTCCTCCGGGTTCATCTGGCACCTCTCACACTGTCCTCCTGCATCTAGCACACTGTCCTCGGTCTCCACTGGCTCCACTGTCCTCGGCATCTGGTTCACACTGTCCTCCGGTTCACACTGTCCTCCCTCTCCCAGCATCACTGTCCTCCGGCATCTGGCACTGTCCTCGGCATCTGTTCCTGTCCTCGGCATCTGTTCGCACTGGCTCGGCCTCCTGGCATCTGGCTCCACACTGTCCTCCAACATCTGGTTCACACTGTCCTCCGGCATCTGGCTCACACTGTCCTCCGGCACCTGGCTCCCACACGCTCCGGCATCTGGTTCACACTGTCCTCCAACATCGGTTCCCACTGCCCTCCGGCACCTGGCTCCACACTGTCCTCCTGCATCTGGTTCACACTGTCCTCCGGCATCTGGCTGCACTGTCCTCCCGCATCTGGCTCGCACTGTCCTCCGGCATCTGGTTCGCACTGTCCTCCGGCATCTGGCTCCCACTGTCCTCCGGCACCTGGCTCGCACTGTCCTCCAGCATCTGGTTCGCACTGTCGCCATCTGGTTCACACTGTCCTCCGGCACCTGCCACACTGTCCTCCGGCATCTGGTTCACACTGTCCTCCGGCATCTGGTTCCACTGTCCTCCGGCATCTGGTTCGCACTGTCCTCCGGCATCTGGTTTCGCACTGTCCTCCGGCATCTGGTTCACTGTCCTCCGGCATCTGGTTCGCACTGTCCTCCGGCATCTGCTTCCGCACTGTCCTCCAGCATCTGGTTCGCACTGTCCTCCGGCATCTGGTTCACACGTCCTCCGGCATCTGGTTCGCACTGTCCTCCGGCATCTGGTTCGCACTGTCCTCCGGCATCTGGTTCACACTGTCCTCCGGCATCTGGTTCCCACTGTCCTCCGGCACCTGGCTCACACTGTCCTCCGGCACCTGGCTCCACACTGTCCTCCGGCATCTGGTTCACACTGTCCTCCGGCATCTGGTTCTCACTGTCCTCCGGCACCTGGTTCCACCTGTCCTCAACATCTTGCTCACACTGTCCTCCAACATCTGGCTCCACACTGTCCTCCAACATCCCCAGCTCCTGTCCTCCAACATCTGGCTCACTGTCCTCCAACATCTGGCTCCACCTCCTCCAACATCTGGCTCACACTGTCCTCCAGCATCGGCTCCACACTGTCCTCCGGCATCTGGCTCCACACTGTCCTCCGGCATCTGGCTCCACACTGTCCTCCGGCATCTGGTTCACACTGTCCTCCGGCATCTGGTTACTGTCCTCCGGCATCTGGTTCACACTGTCCTCCGGCATCTGGTTCACACTGTCCTCCGGCATCTGGTTCACACTGTCCTCCAGCATCTGGTTCTCTGTCCTCCAGCACCTGCGTGACAATGATCTCCGGCATCTGGTTCACACTGTCCTCCGGCATCTGGTTCTCCACTGTCCTCCGGCATCTGGTTCTCACTGTCCTCCGGCATCTGGTTCTCACTGTCCTCCGGCATCTGGTTCTCACTGTCCTCCGGCACCTGCGTGACAATGATCTCCATCTGGTTCCCACTGTCCTCTGGCATCTGGTTCTCACTGTCCTCCGGCACCTGCGTGACAATGATCCGGCATCTGGTTCACGCTGTCCTCCGGCATCTGGTTCACACTGTCCTCCGGCACCTGGTTCACACTGTCCTCCTGCACCTGGTTCTCACTGGCCTCCGGCATCTGGTTCTCACTGGCCTCCCATCTGGTTCACACTCCGGCATCTGGTTCACACTGTCCTCCGGCATCTGGTTCACACTGTCCTCCGGCATCTGGTTCACACTGTCCTCCGGCATCTGGTTCACACTGTCCTCAGCATCTGGTTCACCTGTCCTCCGCCATCTGGTTCACACTGTCCTCCGCCATCTGGTTCCCTGTCCTCCGCCATCTGGTTCACTGTCCTCCGCCATCTGGTTCACACTGTCCTCCCCATCTGGTTCACACTGTCCTCCGGCATCTGGTTCACACTGTCCTCCGGCATCTGGTTCACACTGTCCTCGGCATCTGGTTCACACTGTCCTCCGGCATCTGGTTCACACTGTCCTCCGGCATCTGGTTCCACTGTCCTCCGGCATCTGGTTCACACTGTCCTCCGGCATCTGGTTCACACTGTCCTCCGGCATCTGGTTCACACTGTCCTCCGGCATCTGGTTCACACTGTCCTCCGGCATCTGGTTCACACTGTCCTCCGGCATCTGGTTCACCTGTTCCAGCATCTGGTTCCACTGTCCTCCGGCATCTGGTTCACACTGTCCTCCGGCATCTGGTTCACACTGTCCTCCGGCATCTGGTTCACACTGTCCTCCGGCATCTGGTTCTCACTGTCCTCCGGCATCTGGTCTCTCATCTGGTTCACACTGTCCTCCGGCATCTGGTTCACACTGTCCTCCATCTGGTTCACACTGTCCTCCGGCATCTGGTTCACACTGTCCTGCATCTGGTTCACACTGTCCTCCGGCATCTGGTTCACACTGTCCTCCGGCATCTGGTTCTCACTGTCCTCCGGCACCTGCGTGACAATGATCTCCGGCATCTGGTTCCTGTCCTCTGGCATCTGGTTCACACTGTCCTCTGGTATCTGGTTCTCACTGTCCTCCGGCACCTGCGTGACAATGATCTCCGGCATCTGGTTCTCACTGTCCTCCTGCATCTGGTTCTCACTGTCCTCAAGCACCTGCGTGACAATGATCTCCGGCATCTGGTTCACACTGTCCTCTGGCATCTGGTTCCACTGTCCTCCGGCATCTGGTTCTCACTGTCCTCCGGCACCTGCGTGACAATGATCTCCGGCATCTGGTTCTCACTGTCCTCTGGCATCTGGTTCACACTGTCCTCCGGCATCTGGTTCTCACTGTCCTCCGGCATCTGGTTCCTCACTGTCCTCCGGCACCTGCGTGACAATGATCTCCGGCATCTGGTTCACACTGTCCTCCGGCATCTGGTTCTCACTGTCCTCCGGCATCTGGTTCTCACTGTCCTCCGGCACCTGCGTGACAATGATCTCCGGCATCTGGTTCACACTGTCCTCGGCATCTGGTTCCACTGTCCTCCGGCATCTGGTTCACACTGTCCTCCGGCATCTGGTTCTCACTGTTCTCCGGCATCTGGCTCACACTGTCCTCCGGCATCTGGCTCACACTGTCCTCCGGCATCTGGCTCACACTGTCCTCCGGCATCTGGTTCACACTGTCCTCCGGCATCTGGTTCTCACTGTCCTCCGGCACCTGCGTGACAATGATCTCCGGCATCTGGTTCACACTCTCCTCCGGCATCTGGTTCACACTGTCCTCCGGCATCTGGTTCACACTGTCCTCTGGCATCTGGTTCTCACTGTTCTCCGGCATCTGGCTCACACTGTCCTCCGGCATCTGGTTCACACTGTTCTCCGGCATCTGGTTCACACTGTCCTCCGGCATCTGGTTCACACTGTCCTCCTGCATCTGGTTCTCACTGTTCTCCGGCATCTGGTTCACACTGTCCTCTGGCATCTGGTTCACACTGTTCTCCGCCATGGTTCTTGTCGCACTCTACAAATACAAACAGTTAACTCCTTTATCTAACCTTACCAATAAGTTTTTTATTTCAGGTCTCAAAAACAAAAGAAATCAAGTTGAACCCAAATGTTGACCTGAGCTGAATTGACTTGACTTTTTTGCAAGAATTAGTCCAGTATTAAGAGGGTTTATTCTACTTTGTTTTCTGTGGAATTTTACTGAAACGTTTATGTGCAGAATGAAGTTCGTTATATCAAGGTATCCATTTGATGTGAAACTCCATCTAACGGATTATAATGGAGAGAGAAGTCCGTTATATGGAGGCTTCACTATACATTATATAAAAAAAAAATAATTACTTCTCGAATATAAAAAAATAGTTGGAGGAATTGCAATTTTCGTTATTTGGTTTTTTTTTTTGGTGTTTTCGTTTTGAGGCTGAACATAATTATTGTTTCTGGGAGGCCATGATTCATTAAATATTACAGTATTTATCCAGACACAAAACAATAGCAACGAATATTAAAAGCATAACAGTAGGAATAGTTAGAAAAATATTAATAATCCTGTATACCAAAAAACACAAGGATTTACTAGATTTTTTTTATAATAGTTCGATGATTTTACGCCGAGTTGCATTACATATCTGAACAGCATAGTAGTCACTTCTCCCAAACCGACCAAGATATTTAGTATTGGTAAAATAAACCTAACCTGACCTGATCTAATCTGACCTGACCTAACCTAAGATGGAAGTGAATTAGGTTAGGTTAAGTCTGGTCAGGTTAAGTCTGGTCAGGTTAAGTCTGGTCAGGTTACGTTAAGTCAGGGTGTTATTATTTCATGGAATTTATAGTCAACAGGAAAAGGTGCACGACTAACAAGGCGCTCTCATCCAAGCGGCATATTTTCTCTTAACAAAAACAAAGGGAAAACAAAAATAATTACATTTCCTCAAAATATATTCAAGATATTATAGAGATGAGAAACAATGTCTCTTATTTAGACAATTTTCTTAGCGTGGCTGAGTCTAAGTCGCACATCTAAAGTATTACCAGGAGCTTCAGCGGAGATGAACCACTGAGCAATACATAAGTTTATCTGTACTAAAATGTAATTCTTCTTTAACAAAACCATAAGTTATTACCACAAGGAAATATTAACAGATATAAAGGAGAACAAGACATAAGCCACACACATACACATCTACTTAAGGATTTCACAGTTTTAATGAGTCATACAACACTTCCTTTAAAACAGGTAAAAGAACCTCACCACCTTTTTATATAAACTTAGGGAAGGTTTGGGTTGGTTTCTTTTGTATGTTTTATAATGAATGCATGATACCCTAGCTGCCAGCACAGATCATGAATTATACTAAACTAAACTATTACCCAGTATTTTTTTTTCCAATCTCTGCAGTCGTTGTGTTGTTCTTAAGCAAGACGGGGTAATGGGGACTAGATTCCTAAGCATAAAGGGGACCTGAACAGGTTTTAACTTAATCACAAAATTATCACAATAACTAGAGGTGGTCATTGTGAGGAAAGAGAACTGTGTAGGATCCATAAGAAAGCAGTTTAGGATCCCCCCGTGGTAAATAAACTGTAGGATCCCCCACTTTTCCTAATAATCTTGTCCAGGACTTTTTAAAGCCTAGGACAGTACCTCATCCCCCCGGCTTCAAATGACATATTCCCATTGAGCTAACAACGCACTGCGAGAAAAGGCAGTTCCTTGTAGTCGTTCTGCAGGAAGACATTGCGACCATGAGCTCTTTGTTCTTTAATATAACTTAACATCTAACCTAACTGGACTACAGTAGGTTAAGGGATCATTGTTACTGCATCATCTGTATCACGTATTTATTCATCTAACTCTAACCCAACGTCGTCTGGCATCTGAGCTTTGTTTGTCTCTTGGATACATTAAAAGCATCTTCACATGACCTTCCTCGATAGATGATCACAGGGCAAAAAGTTCAGTCTTCTCGAACCTTACTAATACTTACACATGGTCGGGTATTTTAGTCTTGTTCTCGTTAAAAAGTGCTGTGGGGTTACGCTAGTTAGACCCAAGCACAGAAAGGTCCTTATCCTCTCTTACACTCCTGGGAATTCTCGATAAAACCATAATTGAAGTTTTTAGGAATATTCTATCACAAACACTGTTCACTCTCCTTGTACCACAACACTAAGAGATAGGCCCAAAATTCCCCCATCACGTTTATAGTGAATCATATGACTATTACAGCTCATTCACTTAACTATGCTGTACTGTACTGTCAAGATGCTACATACTCACTGTCTTTTCCCCGTTGATGTTATTTTTGTGTAAACTTCTGCTGAAAAACACCAACAAAGTTTGTCCACCACCACCACGTCAGCTCCACCCATCACAGTGACTGTTGGAACTTGGAAGGTCTGTGAACTGAGCGAGTTGTTGAAGCTTGAATCTGTTTCGTTTTCTTTTGTCTGGTTCTTTTTTGTTCTTTCTTTCTCTTCACCTTCAGATTGTCAATAAAATAATTCAATTTAATTCTCCACCTTCAGGTTCAGAATACGTTAGGTTAAGGGTAATATATTTGTTAAACTTAGATCATGTGACTTTTGTCTTAGGTTCAGAGGTTCAGGGCCAAGAGATTAGTGAGACGCTAACCTGAATTAATCGTTAAGTGAAAATCACGTCAAAAAAAATCTTTTGGTAACATTTATTAAGCACACGAAATTATATGAGCTTTATTAGACCCGTTGACCCATGTAAGGCATCCCCTGTTTACACCCGAACATAATCACTCGTATACAATCTACACACGAAGCTTCCTAAGGAGTTCGAGTTAATGATGGTGCTTGGTAACTTATCCACATCTCTTATTTCTGAACCAATATTTCCCTAATTTCTCCCTAAATCTAACTTTCTCTTGTATAAAACTATTCCTATGTGTTCGATCCTGATTTGATAGTTCAAGTCCCTTAGTTATATCACCTTTATTTAACTCCCATCTTCTAGTTTATACAGTTGGATCATATGGCCCCTCGCTCTACGTCTTTCGGGGGAATAGAAATGTAGTTTTTATTATTTTATCTCCATACTTAAGGTTCCTAATGCCAGGGATTTCTTTTGACATCTTCCTCTGAATGCTTTCGAGGAAATCTGTGACCAAACCTGTGCCGAATATTGCAAGTACAGTCTCATTAATATTCGTTCATTTGTATTGTGAGCACTTAAGGACTAAGAAACTCATAAATTGCAGTCAAACATTATTATTATCATTAGTAGTCGGAGCAATACAGTAGTTAAATTATATATATATCTATGGTGAATGATACGTCAAGGAATACCAGTCATGTTTATGCCAGTGAACATGACGAAATATTTCCGTATTGTATTGTCGATATTGTCTAATCTTTACCGCACACACGAGTGGTCCCTCCCCCCCCACCCCACTCCCCTTATGTTGCCATTATCAGTATTTCTGTTATGCTGTGAGTCAATGATGAGTCAGAGTAATACATTTCTCTGTTGATGATAGAAAATAATGATGACAGTCTTATGATAATGAGCCGTATATATATTGTGTTTAAAGTGACGTGCCATGAACGAGATTGTTGAACCATTAAGTGTGTGTTTAAGTTTTGTAAATACACTTAAGACTTCAACACAAAATAAAGATTCCTCTTTCTTTCAATCAACGGATCACTTCAAGAATCTCCACCCCAGCGTCACCTAACTTAACTTAATCTAAACTAACCGCAACACTGGAGCGGGTTCAGGTACATTCAGGAGCCCATGCCCAGTACTTGCCAACAGTGCGTGACAGAGACGTGACAGTTCGCCCGGGAGGCTAACGAGCCGATCAGTGGTGAAGAGGATAAAAGTAAATAGAGTTAGGGTGGTTAATATTTAGGTGAAATAAACTGGGGTGGTGATTCTACAGGAGTTCCTATTTCCGCAGCTATCGTCTTCTTTAGGTGCAATGAAAGTGGTAATTCCACTATAAAATGTATACGAATAGTTAATAATTACAAGTACTTATGAATAAATGACAGTATATAAGTCTGTGTGTGTGTGTGTGTGTGTGTCCCGTCGCAGCAGCTGGACTCTTATGAAAAGCTCGACCTTAACCAATGGTAAACAGATGGTTGAATGCCTCATAAAGCCAGCTCCTCCTCTACCTCCCTCTCTCACTCTCACTCCCTCCTCAGCACACCGCCAAACGCCTCTACACCCACACGTCTGTCCCAAACACCATCTTATCGTTAAATCCTGGCAACTCTGCACTCTGAATTCATTGTACAGTAAACGTATTCAAAGTAAACAGTTTCCTGGGTTTGTACAGCAAATGATAAACAGAAAAGGAAGTGAATAATTACCCAAAGCATCAGTGACTTGGTGTCGTGGATGAAGGAAAGTCAGAAGTAAATCTCAACACGAAAGAAAATACTACATCCTGTAAGTTATTTTCCCTTTTACAAAACAATAAAAATTTTGTAAGTTAAAAAAGCAAGTTAATAGTTAATAATGTATATATAACATGTAAGTTGAGAAGCGAAAGGTAAGACATAAGTTAACTATAGAGAGAGAAATATAGTAAATTTATTTGGTTTCATATTTAATTTATCAGTTTCCTCGTATATGTTAATATTTCACTTCATGCTCTTATTTATAACTCTGCATCACTCTATAATCCCCTTTATTTGTGCTGATTATTGTACAAATTTGTTCTTGGCCAAGTGGGATTCCTGCCTATTGCCAGTAAGTGAAATATTAACTCCCAAGGGTGTGACGTTTCCTATAGCAGCAGCAACTGGTATCAGAGGAGTACGTGTTTTAACTCGCATTCAAGGGCCTCATAAAGACCTCTCTCTCTCTCTCTCTCTCTCTCTCTCTTGGAACAATCTACCAGAGAGTGTTGTGACGGCACCGAGTGTGAGCTCTTTCAAGACCAGACTTGACCAACACTGGAGCAGGTTCAGATTCATTCAGGAGCTGGTGCATGCCCAGTACCTGTCAACAGTGCGTGACAGAGACGTGACCGATCGCCCAAGCGGCTAACGAGCCGATCAGTGGTGAAGAGGATAAGTAAAAGTAAATAAAATAAAATCCTGAGGACGCCCATACTTGCCAACAGTGCCTAACAAAGAGCCAGTACATGGCTACAGTGCCAACAGTGCCTAACAAAGAGCCAGTACATGGCTACAGTGCCTAACAAAGAGCCAGTACATGGCTACAGTGCCTGACGGAGACGTGACTGACCTCCCAAGCGGCTCACAGGCCGATCGGCGGCGAAGAGATTAAAATAAACTAAAGTCAAAATAATTGTTATGTCATACGTACAAGCGAAATAATATTTTAAAAACGTTATCCTTGCATAATATTACGTTTACTTTAATGTTTAAAACATAGAAAATGGATATAAATAATGAGTTAAATGCTGGATTTAAATAACTTTGAATGAGATTAAATGTGTGAATTAAATGACTTTAAATGAGCTTTAAGGCGTTACCGTAGTAGTGAAGAGGTCAACCGAGCATCACTTTAATTAAAAGGCTGATAATGTAAATAAAAATAATGAAAATACAGGTCATTTGAACCGGAAACGTCATAGAAGAATAGTGTTTTAGAATTGACTGAAATATTGATTGTAAAGATAAAATTCTCGATATTCGGTTGGTAATAATAATAATAATAATAATATTATTATTATTATTATTATTATTATTATTATTATTATTATTATTAACGATAATAATAATAATGTAGTTAATTAAGGAGAGTTATATTAAAGATATTAACCTTAGCTATACAAATTTTAATAATAAATAGTTCACATAATGAAACTTTAGTCCATTTTTGCTAAATAATAAGAAAAAAATTACTCAGGATTATCAGGAACCTAAATAGATTGGTTTGGTTAGGTTAGATTAGGCGGTATTAGGTTAAGTAGGTAAGGTTATGATAGATTATGTTTGGTTAGGTTAGTATAAGTTACTTGTAGGTTTGGTTACAATAAATTAAGTTAGATTTGGTTAGGTTAGGTTAGGTTAGGTAAGGATAAGTACAAATTTGGTTAGGTTTCAATTTTATTTCATAAATGATGTTTCTTCCATTTTATCAGTTTTTTTAAGAAACCGATATGCCAGGTCTTGTCTTGCTTTATTGCAACTCTGTAAAAGTTCCTACAGACTCCCATGACAGAGAGACAGGCAGACAAATAACCAGAGACAGGCAGACAGATAGACAGAGAGAGAGCCGGACAGAGAGACAGAGAGAGAGCCGGACAGAGAGACAGATAGACAGAAATAGAGACAAACAGAGAAACAGACAAACTCATACAAATATATAACTGTAAGCGTCCTCAATGATATTTATTGTTTTTTATTTATTTTACTAATTTTTAAGTATATAAATTAATATCTTCTATCTAAAGAGGGTTTAATGGTGTGTTGCGCGAGGCGGTGTTCACTTGTCTCCTCCACGTGCTGATGTTGTTATTGGCCATCACGTCTTATGTTCAATATTTACCACGATTAAACAAACTCCCTAAAACATTTACTTTATATAGTATAATAAAAAAAACTCATTCATGTCTTAAGAAACATAATTAAACATATTTGAATATTTTTAAAATATAATTATGGTTAGTTCAAGGTCATTATTTTTTATGGTATTAAAATGAAAGTAAATTAAGGTTTGTGTCCGTGGTAGTTTAAGAAGATTGTTGATCACCGTGAGGGAAGGAGAAGGATGGCAGACCTCGGGGCAAGAAAATACTAATATATCCTCACTCAAAGACAAGAAGGGAAGCCAAAGGTGTGAGGTAAGACATCAGAATATTTCCCTTGATGAGGTAAAATATGAGATAAATTAAATAACTCTTGACGTATGGCCATGACAGAGGTCCTCCATGTGCCTCTCTCAGGTCCTAACACATTGTTGGCGAGTAGATAGATAGAGATAGACATAGATGGATAGAGAAAGAAAAATATGGATAGATAGGTAAAGAAAGAAAGATAGATAGAATGAGACTGATATTTTGGTGTTCCAGAGAGAGATGGCTCTGTCTCAGCCCCATAGACCGTCAGCCCTGAAGCAGCAGAACAAGAGACACAGGACCCTAGGACACCGCTCTAAGGGCAGCGTCTCCAAGTCCAGTAAAGGTGGAGTGTGACCTTAGTTAGTTAATGAACCTGTGTACAGTAGTGTTGGTGGAGCTGCTTTAATGTATGAGGTGTTGGTGGTAGGGCGAGACCTCCATATAACGGATTTATCTCTCCATTAATCTGTTGTATAGAGGTTTGGGATCAAATGGACCCTCGATATAATGAAACTCTCTCTTCCTATGATCCTCCTCATCATGACAGGTACCTCACTCCTCCCTCATTCACTCCCCAGTACCTGTAGATTATAGACGCTGTTCATAATATCATTGTTGATTATATACATGAGAAAAAAGTTACTTACGTAGGTATGAATTGTATTTTCAGGTCGAGTTAGCGTCAAAACTTTAAGCAAAAAAGCTAAGAAGGATCTCAGTCGCGAGCAGAGACGTCACAGGTCCAAGCAGATCCGCGCCGTCAAGAGGGAGGAAACTAGCTTGCGTAAACGAGCTCTGGGCACCGCTAACAACCCCCCGTTCCTGGTGACGGTGGTGCCGCTCAGCCCCAGCATCAACCCTCGGACGGTGCTGAACGCTCTGGTGTCGTGTGATGAAGCCGCCACCACCACCACTAGCTCCCAGGGCATAGTACACATAAGGTATTTGTTTGTTTTATGTTGTTATGAACTGTTTATCTCGAGACACTGGTTAGGTTAGGTTAGAGGTCTGGGATCACGTGAAAAGAGGTTCTAAGGGTTCGGCCACACGAGCGTACATTTTATCAACAACATATGATCAACAATAAGAAAGCCAGACTATTGCACGCAGCCGCACCCTACCAGAGTCAGGACACCGTACCTTAGTGGCTTCCTGTACCACATCACCTTATTCCTATTTACTATATAGTTAAATCAAGCAATAAAATAAACAGTAAAAATTCATCTTGTAATTATTGAATGTGACTTATGAGTGTTTTCTGATCTCTCTTGCAGCTGCTCGCGTTTTAAGCAGAGACTCTCCTTTGTCGTACCACCGGTGAACGATCTGTACGCCATATTGGACAGTGTAAAGGTTCGTGTGTGTTCCTTCACGTCTATGGTATAATTGATCAAAGGATTTAAGACCAAGATTGATTATTTTTAGTGATCAATATCCAGGACTTTCATAATCAATGTGTTTCCTTGAATTAAATTTGTCTTTTTAATGCTTTGCTGTTATTGTCTTGATTAAGGACACCTGAAGAGTCTCCACCCAAGCTTGTTAGACCTGGAGATTAACTAACTATTCTACCCTAACCTAACATTAACCTAACCTATTCTTACCTAATTGTAACTCAATCTAATCTAACCTATCCTATCTTAAGGCTAATCTATCCTAACACTAAACTAACCTATCCTAATCTAACTCATTCAAACCTAACCTGACATAACCTAATGCACTAACTCCTACGTGTTTCAGGTTAGCGACACGTTGATGCTTCTCTGGCCCGGAGATGAGGAACTAGGAGACGCCGCAGATCTGTTACTGAGCTCTATACTAGCCCAAGGTCTCCCAGCTCCCATCCATATTGTGGCTGGGCTGGAGGAAGTGGCCCAGAAGGTACATAGTTAATACAGTACAGTCATACACATTATACAGTACAGTCATACACATTATACAGTACAGTCATACACATTATACAGTACAATACAGTCATACACACTATACAGTACAATGCAGTCATAAATGTTATAACTTTCCGAGCTTCCAGATACAGTGAAACCTCAATATAACGGACTTCTCTCTACATATAAGCCATTAGATGAGGTTTAACATCTAATGGACCCTCGATATAATGGACTTTCATCTCTATGTAGTTCGTTAAATAGAAGTTTCACTGTATGTAAATTTGTCTTGGGAGTTCATCAAGAATGTATAATACAACCCTAACCTAACCCAACCCAACCTTGATTTATTTTTTTATTACTTTTGAGGGATTGGTATATGAAATGGAAGCAAAAACAGATGCATAGAATAAAACCAAGACTTGGTGACATGGTCTAAGCTGTTGCCTGTATTGTATGTAGATGATGCTGTGTTGCCGAAGTATAAATGACTGAATGACAGGAAAATATGTGTGTATGAGTGATATTTTGTTTCCTTTTCTATGATTAGCGGGAAGAAAGGACTTGAAAGGGGCATAGAGAATTGGTGACTGAGTTAAGGCATTTTTAAGATGACCAAAAAAAAAATGATAATCTCACTTTTGTTTCTACCCATAGCCTTAGTTGATGTTGTTTTAAGGTACTAGTTCTGGCTCTACTCATCATTGTTGTGAGATAAAGGTAAACTCGGCAGTGCTTTCGTGTTTATATTACTGGCTACATAGGAGGAACATCTCTTTAAGTTTTGCACATGTTAATAGGAGATACAGGCAGGTGGCACGGAAGAGGAGGACAACCAGATGATGATGGATGCACACGATCTGGAACAGGAGCTGAAAACTAGACTGTCTCTCAAACAGCCGACGACCTCACATAAAAAACATAGTGTATTTACCCATATGTCTGTCTAGTGTGGAGTGCTGTTGTGTGTATGACAGTGTATTAACTTTATCTTTGTAGTAATGTTGTGTATGACAGTGTATTAACTTATATCTGTGTAGTAATGTTGTGTATGACAGTGTATTAACTTATATCTGTATAGTGTGGAGTGCTGTTTTATACGTGACATCAATAATACAGTGGTCCCTCGGTTAACGAGCACAATCCGTTCTAGAAGGTTGCTCTTTAACCGAAACCATTGTTTCAATGGGTTTTTGGGTAATTGGTTCCAGCTCACCGAAAATTCCCTAAATTCAACAAAAAAGGTAGAAAAGTACATTTACTTTGAGGTGTGTATGTAGAAGGCTCCTGGATGATGATGATGGGAATTAGAATGGGGGTGGAGAAGGGAGAAGAGAAGGCATTGGGGTGGAAGAGAAGTCACCCCATGGTGCCATTTCACCCATAAAATTTTAGTTCTCTGGTGTAATTCAAGATTATTTTCTTTAAATCAACACTGCACTGCATTATATATTGTCAATATGTAAAATAAATTTCAAAATGACCAATAATTTGCTTGCAAAAACAGAAAAAAAGCATTTAGTTGAACAGAGTCTCAAGCAAGATGTTACCTCCACTGAAAAGATACAAAGACTGACGCCTGTATGGTGTGTTGAGAGGCTGGATGGCACGCATAAAACTAGTTTCATTACTTTCAATTATGTTCAATAATTGTTAAAATGAGTAAAAAATTTAATATTACACTTTTAAAATTATTGAATAGTATAAACTTCTTGATATTTGCTAAAATGGTAAGGAATTTAAGCCCTAGAACCGATTACTGTATTGGCAGACTGATACTACAGCTGATGGACCGCCAAATGCAAGCGAAATCATGTTGAAGTCGGCTCGTAAAAAACTCGTTAATCGAGGGATTGCTCGTTAACCGAAGTTAAGAATCTTATGGAAGGTAACTCGTTAACCGAGGGACCACTGTACTGACTTACGATTGTGATTCCTTTTTTAAGAAACTAGAGTTTGTTGTATTCTTTTTCGGGGAGGAGGGTGGAGGGTGTATTTTTATATTACAGCATGATGGTGTTGCTAACATTGTGACCTGCAAGTTGTATGAAAATAACACAATGTTTTATTGCAGATTGTAATGTTGACGATCATTAGAGACTGAGTGATTCATCCCTTGTAACAGCTTCTCTCTTGTCCCAAATATTAATCTGATGTTTTCTGTAATATTAACAATACTGAATTATTCATCTTTTAGTACTGACTATGAAGAAGGGGCTGAAGTTTATTAATGGTTTATGTTAGGTGTTGCATGTTACTTAATATTATTTAGGGTAATACTTGATGTGACACCTTCCACCTCTGGCACTTGATTCTGGATGTGCCAAAAGTGCCACAATAAGGGACTTGAGGGTACACCTGTAATTCACACCAGCTGTTAATGACTCGGCTTAAGTACCTGAAGAGCAACATTGTCACCTGGATATATCCCTTGATTATTACCTCAGTGGTATAAGGCCCAGTAAAATGCCACTGAGCAGTTTCAACCCTTGTGAAGATTATTATTATTATTTAGTCTTTCTTTAACCTCAATTTTAGAAGATTTGAAATTATTATATTTTATTTTATTTTTTGTTTCCCCCTCTAACAGAAGAAGCACCACGCCCGGCAGAACTTACTCAAGGAAATAGAACTGCGTTTCCCCGGCCCCTCTAAGCTACACAGCCTCGAGAAAGAACAAGACGCAATTCTGGTTCTACGGCAAATTGGCGCACAGAAACGACGGCCCATCTTCTTCAGGGACAACCGACCTCACATTATGGCCGAAAAGATGGAATTTCTCGAAGAGGTAAATAATTACAACTTTTATACAACTATTAAAATCTTCGCCACTTAGTGAATAGTTTTTCCGTTGTCAGTCTCGTATATAAGGTCATTGTTGTTGTGATCATAATTAATATATAATGTCTTCGTATTATGGGTTTAAAAACTACACTGCTCAATGGGTCAGCTTCTTCAAGGGCAAAAAATTGATTAAGTGAAATACCAGGCAGTAAATTAAATCATGGAGAGAGAGGTAGACAGACTGGAGGAGATCAAAGCTCTGGTACTAGTGGATGGGTGACAGTCCGAGGTGTTGTAAGTGTGTGTACAGTGAAGCCTCCATATAACAAACTTATCTCTATAATATAATGCATTAGATAGAGGGGTTCACATCTAACAAACCCTCGATATAATGGACTTTCCCCTCCATATAGTCCATTTAATAGAGGTGTCGCTATATTATGCTAAAACAGTGTACAACAGATCTTTTCTCTGTGTGTTTTATCAAGGGATCTACCGGAGTACTCAAAGTCCACGGTTATGTCCGCGGTCAAGTGCTCTCTGTCAATGGTCTGGTTCACATCCCTGGCTGGGGGGACTACCAGATGAACCGCATCGACATAGCGGCCGACCCACATCCTCTAGAGCGACACAGCCGGAGCAGGGAAGCCGGGGCAGATATGGAGGACGACGAAGTACATCTGCTGCAGGAAGCTGATCCCGCCCTACAGGAGCAACTTAAGTCAACGAATGAAGTGAGTCTTTTTTTATTTATTTATTTTTTTTTTTATTAATTCGTTCGTAGAAATGCTTATATTTGTCTCGGTCTCCCTGCTGTTGTTCCTCCCACTCTACACCTTTCACTACCCTTGATTCATCCATCCCAAGCAAAGGGGAATGAGGAATAAAGAGAAGAGATAGATAAATTGAGATAATTTCAATCATTTTTTCCTCAAACATATTTTACTTCTTCAGTAGATGATAATTATTTTTTCTTAACCATTTTTGTTTCTCGTCTTAGATTGACCCATTGGAGGGAGAACAGACATGGCCGACTGAAGAGGAACTGGCAGAGGCCGGAGAGGACGCCGCCACCACCAAACAACGTACCAAGCGGGTCCCCAAAGGAACCTCGGATTACCAAGCGGCGTGGATCTTGAACAGCGATGATGGTGAATATCTTTTTTAACATCAGTCCATTGATAACTTTGTGCAGTACAGGAAATTTTTATTGAGGGAAATTGTAGTTTAATGTATTTTGTGATAATATTCTGACCAATGTGAAATAAATGTACAGTACACTTACATAGTGTGTTTGTGATTGATTAAATAGTGCGCAGTAGATTAATATTTCCTCTCTCTCATCTAGAAAATCTTGCTAAGAATCTATACCTAAGTCTATTTCAATATCTCTCTCTCTCTCTCCCCTGCCTCTCTCTCTCTCTCCCACTCTTCCTCCCCTGCCTCTCTCTCTCTCTCCCACTCTCCCTCCCCTGCCTCTCTCTCTCCCCTTGCAATTTTTACACAGAATTATATCTTACAAAAGGACACTGGAATTATTTGTAACTTCCATATTGTACGGCTGTAACTAACTTTATTTACCCCGACACGTTACAGAAGAGGACAAAAATGACGACGACGACGACGAAAACAGCGAAAGTGAAATGGACGAGGACCTGGCCCCCGTGGACACCATCTCGCAGAACGGTTACGATGGTGAAGGTGACGGCGACGAAGATGACAACGAGGAATACGAGACGATGACCGTCACGGATGCCGAAGGTGTCAATTACGACGAGAAGGTGGACTATGAGGCCGAGATGGACGCCTTTGACAAAATGAGAGGTATGGATCATGAGTATAACGTAAGGACCGCGAGTGTAAATGTAATGAATCGGGTAATGAAGGGAAGAAGTAATTAAGAGACTAGAATTACCTGAGGTGGGGGATTTAACTAACCAGAATTACATCATCTATTTGTCCCGTGCAGAAGAGATTCTTGGGAGAGGTGGGAAGGTAAATTACTCAAGTTAACTCTATGACTTTATGAAGGTGTGTTTTTGCAATGTACAGTCAGGCCACAAATTACTTTTACCCGCCACAGTGTGAGACAATATGACGCACCGGCCAATATCTCCCATATGTTATTCTCAGTTTTATTAGTTAGAGCTTAGAGACTCATCACACACCCATACACCCACTCACCACACACCCACTCACCACACACCCACTTATCACACCCAGTCACCACACACACCTCAACCAAGAATACCCAGCCATCTTTTTTTTACCTCTCACAATAATATAATAGTAAGTAAAGTCAAGACAGTTCTAAAATGACGACACTTATTTTTTTTCTCCAGCTGCCCGCGATGATGCCATGTTCCCAGACGAGGTGGACACCCCCCAAGATCTGACGGCCAGGATACGTTTTCAAAAATTCCGGGGCTTACAGAGCTTCCGCACCTCTGCCTGGGACCCGGATGAGAACCTACCCGTCGACTATTCCAGAATATTTCAGTTTGAGAACTTCCAACGCACTAAAAAGAGAGTTCTCAAGGAAGACAAAGATGGGGCTCTAGTAAGTGAAAAAATAATAATTACAATAATCTAACGTAACTCAAACCTAATTTAGTCAAACTCTAACCTATACTAAACATACCATAACATAACCTTAACCTAACACAACCTTAATCAAACTTTACCCTAACCTAACCTAAACTAAACTTACTCTACTCTAAGTTAACCTTCACCTAACCAACACATTGTGAAAACTATTAAGAAATCAGCCATCCATATAATACTTTGACCCAAATATTTTTCATACTCATCAATAAGATTTTTTTTAACTTTCAATATTGTGTGAATTTTTGGTTGGAGAAACGAGACACAGTTGAGTTATTAGTGGAAATTTGTCTCCTACTCGATAAAGCAACTACTGGGGATAACTTTACTTGGTGGTTCTGTTCATGATTGAGTTTCTCTTATCTTGATCTTTATAATATGATTTAGAATTATAATTAGCATGTCTTAAGTCTTTATATACTGTATACAGTATAGTATAGCATGTCTGAGTCTATAAATATCATGTCTTAAGTCTTTATATATATAGTATAGCATGTCTGAGTCTTTATAAATATCATGTCTTAAGGCTTTATATATACAGTACTGTACAGCTGCTCCTCGACTTACGACAGGGTTAGGGACCCAGATCCTGGTCATAAGTCGAAAATGCTTAAATAATACATAGAAAATCTAAAATGGGTGTCTCTTTTTCTTCTCAGCACCACAAAACTCTCACTTTTAAGCTTGTCAGCCATTTTAAAGTGAATTACAAACGAAAATTTTGTCAGTACACAGCGCAATCACTAACGTTGAGACTCGAAAATACGTAATTTGACAAAATTTTGGTGCGACTGAGGCGGTCGTATGTCCGGGTGGTCGTAGGTCGAGTATGTCTTAAGTCGAGGAGTAGCTGCATAGTATAGTATGTCTGCGTCTTTAAATATAATGTCTTAAGTCTTTATGAATAACCTGTCTGAGTCTTTATAAATAACATGTCTAAGTCTTTATGAATAAGAGTCTTTATAACTAGCATATCTGTTATTTATAATATTTCACATAATACAGCAGTTTTTGTGGTTGATTACAGCCCGGCTGGTACGTGGTAGTACACATATCGGACGTCCCCCGCCACCTGTACGATAACCACGTCGCGAGTCACTCTCCTCTTGTGGTGTTAGGTCTCCTCCCCCACGAGCAGAAGATGTCCATCGTTAACATGGTGGTTAAGTCTCATCCCTCAGGTCACTTTCGAGCCATCAAGTCCAAAGAGCGGCTCATATTCCACGTGGGTTTCAGAAGGTTTGCCAACGCTCCCATCTTCAGCGAGCATTCCACGGGGACCAAGCACAAGGTGGGCGTCCTGTTGTGTTGGTTGGTGTTGTCTGATCTTTCTTCTGTTTTCTTGTTCTCTTTCCTCTTGTCTACTTCTGTTTTTCTTCATCCTCTTCTTATCTTCTTCATTGTCTTCTTCCTCTTTTCTTCTTTTGTTTGTTATTCTTACTAGAATTATTTTTATTATTGTTATTAATCCTTTTACTATTATCATCATCATAATCATTCTAGTTTGCCCGGTATTTCCACCCTGGAACGACTGTGGTAGCGACGATGTTTGCCCCCATCACCTTCCCTCCAGCCTCTGTCTTGGTGTTCAGAGAGAGGCCAGATGGTGCCCAGGTATGTCACTTTTACCTTGTGTCAACCTATATACAGTACATGCATACATACGTTAAGGCTGGGTGGACACAGTTTAAAAGTCGTTTCTAGACCTTAAATGCACATACTTGAGGTTGTTTGGATGACGTTTGTGTTAGAAGGATTAATGAATCACCCTGTATGTATTTGATAACAAGTTGAGTGGAAATAATGTTTGTGTATAAGAGATAAAGGAAGTGATGGTTGTGTACATGAGAGAGAGGCAGTACCAGGATGTAATGGCTGTAGTACATGAGACAGAGAGAGAGTTCTGTACCGGGTTGTATTAATAATGTGTCGTCTCTTACAGGACTTGGTGGCCACTGGTTCCTTACTGAGTGTTGACCCCAAGAGAATAGTGACTAAGAGGGTGGTGTTGAGCGGTCACCCATTCAAGGTACGTCTAGTAAGAGTAATCTATCGTGAGACTTGTTCTTTGACTTAAAGAAACAAAGAGCTTTCATGTCCTGTGTCTTGAACTAGTGTGTTGCTCTTTGTTCAGAGTGACTTGCACAATGTTCAGAGTGACTTGCACTATGTTTAGAGTGACTCTCAGCATATTCTCTAAATGATTCCGTTAATACAGGTCATTGGGTAACTAGCCTCCCTGCACCACCTACCACAGTATGTTGGCTACTGGTTATTAGACAAGATGAATTGTTTAGCTGATGCAGGACTTTTAACACACAGTGAGACCTCTATATAGAAGGTTGAAAATCATTATATCGAGATTTGTTGGATGTGAAACCTCCATATAACAGTACAGTCCATTATATCGAGGGCCAGACTGTACCCGTTAGATTGACATCCATTAAAAGGAGGGTTTCACTGTAACATGGCGATTCAGTTAATGTCTTGGCAGATGACACGACCTTATCTGGCATCATCAACACATATCCTCTTCTCATTGTTAGGTCACCAAGTGTAATATTTGACCCTGTCACTGATTTTGAACTGTACCAAGAATGTTTACTTTATAGACAGCTCACGAGATGTTTCCTCCGTAGGTGAATCGGAAGACAGCCGTAATAAGATACATGTTCTTCAACCGAGAAGACGTAATGTGGTTCAGACCCGTGGAACTCCGGACCAAGTGGGGGAGACGAGGACACATCAAGGAACCTTTGGGTGAGTGAACTTAGTTTGTGGTTTTTGCTTAACATTTACCTTTTTATCCCCAGAGAGATAACTTTAACCCATATGTGATAACCACTATTGTAATTATCCCTTGAAAGATAACTTTATCCCATACATGATAACTACTACTGTAATTATCCCAAGAAAGAGAACTTTATCCCATATTATGATAACTACATCTTCATATCCAGTTTGATAGATGTTTCAGTGTAATAATGAGAGTAATGACAGAATATTAAAAGTTACTGCTACATAGTTTAGTCTGTGTTCTGTGTAATGGCAAGAATCATGAGTAGATAAAGTCTCTATTTCACCCATGATTCTCATTGCCCATCTCTCTAGTACGCAAAGGTTTCAGCAAGTGAATTTATAGCAAGATATTTATACTATTAATAGCATTTTTTTTTTCACTTTCCAACAGGTACTCACGGTCACATGAAATGCCACTTTGACGGTCAACTAAAGTCTCAAGATACTGTCCTGCTGAATCTGTACAAGAGAGTCTTTCCCAAGTGGACGTTTGACCCGTACGTCGCCAGGCCTCCGCCCCTCTACACCTTCAGGTCCTCTAATGACATCGGTGACAAGTTGAGTGACGAGGATGACTGCAGCGACCAGCAACCCGCTCTCAAAAAAGCTAAAACCGTTAAATTCTTTTCGAGTAGACAATAGGCCTCTTGTTAGTTTCATTGTTAATAGTTAAATATTTATTGATTTTTTGTAATAATGTTTTAAAATGAAGCATTTGTGGCTGACCATTGGCCCCCATTTACACGAAACGTACGTGGGAAATGATAGTTATGTACAGTCGCTATAAGTGGTTGTGCGAACGATAAATAAAGATTTTTATTATTGAAAAAGTTTTGGTGTGTTGAGGAAGTGAGAATCTTCAGTAGCGTTTCCTTCAGGACTGAGTTGTTGATCTTTAGTCATCTTGTGCTGCTGTCGTAATATATTAACCTTTGCTCATTATTATATTTATTTTCGGATTTACGGTACATTTTCCATATTCCATTTTTTCTCTTGGGTTATGTCAAGTGCTAAAGCCCAGTCCAGATTAAAAATAGATTTGAAAATTTTAATTAAATGTGTAATATTGTCTTGGAAAAATTAATATTATTTTATATTAAATAATTAGTAAAGATCTCTGAAAGTAGGTTCTCTGTATACAATTTCTTCTTCATTTCTAACAAAATAAATAAATTTTTTAAATTTTTTATTATGACTTATTTTGCTTTGATAAGTACTGTAAGTGTTGATGTTAATCTGTGCTGTATAGGTAAGTGCAAGGAATATAAAGAAAGGAAATATTACTCTTACAAGCAAGGAATATAAAGAAAGGAAATATTACTCCTACATGCAAGGAATATAAAGAAAGGAAATATTACCCTTACAAGCAAGGAATATAAAGAAAAGAACTATTACTCCTACAAGCAAGGAATATAAAAGAAAAGTATTATTCTTGCATACAAGGAATATAAAGGAAGGAACTATTACTCCTGCAAACAAGGAATATAAAGAAGAGAACTATTACTCTTGAAAATAAGGAACTATTACTCCTGCAAACAAGGAATATAAAGAAGAGAACTATTACTCTTGCATACAAGGAATATAAAGAAAGGAACCAATACTTCTGAAAACCAGGAACATAGAGAAAGGAAGTTGCAGTCTCTCTCGCTCCTCCAGGTGAGTTACCACTCTTGTTCCTCCAGGTCAGATTGGGTTGGGTCAAGTTAGATTAAAAATCGTTTTTGAGTTTATGGGTACATCATCTGAACACCGAAAACAACACTATCGCATACTAAGCACCAAAAAACATGAATAAGGTAAACTTTTTATAGTTTGGAGAGTTTTGTAGGTTTGTTTTGTGTTATATTTTACCCAACAATTTCCCTATACTTCGAATCCCTGCCCACTTTAAACAACCAATTAGGGGGGGGGGGTCACATCCGTTAAAATACTCGACAAATATAAATTTGCGACGGAAACTAATAAAGTATTTTTTTTCTTCTATCACCTTATATAAGTAGAGTTGGCAACTACTACATATTACCTGAAGTAATACCTAAACAACTGCTGTACCATATGTATTATTATCTTCACTATCTCTTAACAAACACTGCCAGTACACGATACACTGGTAACTGTACATTAACAGTTTACTACAGTCAACATTACAACATACATTCATCTGTTTATTTCCAGGAGACAAATGAAAAGTCCTGATGATGGCCAACATATGAGGTCAAATACCCATAAAGCAACTCACTCCTTTATTAAACTATATATAATGAGTTGCTGGTATTATAATACACATTAGTTATTTTCCTCTCAATAAAAATATATTTGTCTATTTATTATGATGTTTTTGTCAGGTGAATGTACAGTATTGACAAATATTTAGGACTGATAGTTTTTATTTTCATCCATCCATCCTTCTCTCTACCTTCCCCTCTTCCCTATTTGCTGTATATGACCAAAATATTCAATTTGTTTCCTTTTTCTGTAAATTTCAAGTATATTTTTCTTGAAGTTTCTGCTAATTGTAGTATTTCTTCATCTTTACACTCTGTGGGTTCTTAAGTGTTTTGGCTGCACTGGGTATATAAACTCTACTTTGATAGTTATTTATGTATAAAATAAATATGTGTAAGTTTAATTTAACTTTTTTCCTTTTACTTTGTTTCATTTATTTATGTTTATTCCAATTTTAAGCTCGTATCCGCTGCCTCCACCCATGGCTGCAGAATATTTAATGTTAAATTAACACCAAGGTTGAAAACACTTAAATATATATTTCATATGTATTTACAACCTACAAAACTTATCGAAAATTAACTTTAATTAATTTATAACAAATTTTTATATATTATTGATTATATATAAGACAAATTATTAAATGTAACGCCATAAATAGGAGTTGGCGTCATGATCGTGGTAGTTGAGGTAAGATGGTCAGTGCAAGTGGCGGCCTCACCTCACCTTGTCCCGAGTTGTTTTGTTTACAGTTTGAAATTTAATGAAGAAAATGTCTGAAGATTCCAATTCCGCTATACTGGATTCTATTGTAAGTTGAAGGGACTCTTTTAGGTGGTGTTACAAGGTGTGAGAGATAGAGAGGAAGGTGTAAAGAGGTGACATGACAGCCTCGGGGTAGTAAACATTGTTATGATTTATATTGTTTTATTTTCTTTTGACTTGTTTACATCTAGTTGTGTTGATTTAAGGTTTTTATATATAATATTTGATTATTTAATGAGTATATATCTCATTGTCTATATTAGTGTCTAACTTTATATTTCTCTCTATATTCAGTATAGTGGTATGTATTTGTCTATCTGCCTATTTATTTGTCTAACCTTTCCTAACCTAAACTTTGAGAATATCTAACCTAAAATAATATATTTGTAGTATTATAACATATTTAGGTAATGTCTGAGAACTTCTCTACTACCAGAAGTTGTTCGAGTTTATTTATTTTTCCACAGATGTTCTTATATTTATAATAAGTATTTTTAAAGAGGCGTTATTTGCTAGAACCTAATAGAACCTGACCTAATCAACCAAAGAAACCTACCTAACTTAACCTATCTTAGCATTTATTTTATTGTTTTAATAAGAGTACGTTCGAACCAAGCGGGTCGGCTGTTAACAAACTGAGGTGACGATGACGTGCACTAACAGTGGCTGATTTTTCGGAGGAGTATTTACAAGAAATAATTAATTTCTTTGCGTACAAAGCACATAGAGAGATCTTTATAGTGTCATGTGATCAGTTTTCACCGTGTTTTACCCTGCAATTTCCCTCATTTTCGTTTCTTGCACACCACAGGTGATTTATGATCATAGATAGAGAAAAAAAAATATTTATAATTTTTTTTTTTTTTTTTTTTACAGGATTAGCCCACCAAGGCACAGGTCAATGACCTACGTCAGGGCCTGGGGGCGAAAATATAATAATAATGATGAAATATAATAATAATAATAATAATAGACCATAAATTAAAAAAAATTAAAAAATCAATAATAAGAAACGATATACGGGTACACATATGTATGTTGTATTGCCAAAGTAAGAGAAACAATTGAGACCCTGCAATTGTGTGTAAATGAGGCAGAAAGTCAGATCAGCAACCTGGGACTTGGTCACATATGGCAGCAGGGTCTACCATTAGACAACACATTATGCTTCCTATTTTAAAGTACTTACTGTAATGATAAGAACATCTGTGGGAAAATTTAACGAATTCAAACACCTTCTGGTTGTAGAGGTGTTCTCATAAATTACCAAGATTTTTTTTTATATCGGTACCTATTTTAGGTTAGATTCTCAAAGCTTTAAATTTTTTATTATTTCTCTCTCTCTCATCTTAAGGTCAAATCAACTAGAGATACTAAACATTGTGTCAGTACTACACATGAAGCTCTTACACCCGGTCACTCACACAATCTTATGTTTGTCCCCAGTCCAGCGTGACGGAAGGATGCCGCCTGCCAGTCCTAATGAACAACGGAGATGACTGGCGTAAGTCAGGATGTTCAAGTAGGATTACAACCCTTATTGTTTTGTTTAATTTTATGTTTTGTTATTTGTTGTTGTTTTATCCTGATATAAGTGTACTTCCACCTGGATCAACTTATTCCTCAGGGCACTATTAGTACATAGAGAGTAGTAGAGTATACACTTAACAATACACTTGATAGTACAGTAATACATCAGTTTTCATACATAAAGTGTACAGTACTGTTAGTCATGTTTTAATGATAACTACTGTACTGTACTACTACTATAGAATAATACACTTTTTAAGTTACTTTTCCACCCTGTTTGGTTAAAGACTTTGAGTATATCCATAGTTGGAATGCACACTTAATTCACTACATTATCTTGACGTTTTTATATATAGAGTATATATATTTTTGGTAATACAAATGAATGAAATATTGTGAAATATATTGATAATAATATTCTTTTCAGAATTATGTATATACACTCATGAAATATAATGATAATATACTTCTCAATAGTGTGTGCAAAATAATTAAATATACTCATGAAATATAATAACAATAGTTTATACAGAACAATTGAAAATAATCTTGGAATATAATGGTAAATATAGCCGACGGTCGTGTGTTATGGGATGATTAATCGCTCTCTCTCACAGCTCTGGCAGAGATCATCAGCATCAAGGACTCAGACAGCAAGAAGCAGTTTTATGTTCACTATATTGATTGTAAGTATGGAAGTGTTCATTTTGTGTTGTATCTTGTATGTAAGTGATTGTCATTCATTGTTTTAGGGGTGACTGTAGTACTGTACCTGTATTATGTTAAGATTAGCTTTAAGTTGTGGTACAGTACCTTTTAATGGTGGTACAGTTTTCATACTTTATTTTTTGTGATTTTTTTCCTTTCTACCATCTATGTGAACTTGGCATCATTATTTCTAACTCACACATTTCGCAGTGGTAAGTGAGGCCATTGCTACTATACTGTACCACAAGTAACTAAAATACATCATTTGAACCTGACTCTATTACAAGGCAGTGCAGCACTAGTAAGTCAAACTGGAATTAAGTCATTATGTACAGCTAAAAGGAAGGTTACAGTGTCGTGCCCATCACTCTCACAACATTGATAACTTCTATAGACACTTAAATACTTGAGAAGTGTCAGTTTCTTGTCATAAGGTCAGATTTACTTAACCATCCATGGTACTGTGTGAGGTACCTCAACCACCACCCTGGCAGGGTTGGGTTCAGATCCTACAGGAGGGACGACGGTGTTATATACTGCATGTGCCTCCTGTTGTTGTGTTTATGTAATGTTATGTTTTTATCACCAGACAATAAACGTCTGGATGAGTGGGTGGAAGAAGATCGTTTAGACACGAGGAAGATCCAGTACCCTCGTCGGGACTTGGCCTCGGCCGCCACCACCGGCCTCAACACGCCTAAGAAGACTCTCACCGGTGCCACCAACTCCCGCCCGTCCTCGCCGGGATTGACACCTGTGAGAACCGTCGTTTATACTCGGCATGACGTGTACCGTTGTTGGTCATAATGTTGCTTATCCGTATACTGTACAGTATTTAATTGTTATGCTCTTGGCAATTGTTAATGTAACAAAGTAGGTGACTTTGAATTATGTGTAAATAGTCTAGATATTGGAATTTCAATATATTTTATGTATGCAACAAAATAAATGCATGCTTGTTACATTGAAATTAAGTAGTGTGGTGTTGGTGTAATGAGTACATGCCCTAATGATTTACTAAAGAGGTAAATTCTCTGCCGTGGTTCAGGACCCAATCACAGGCCCGTCAGTGTTAGCTGCCTTGCAGCAAAAACAGCAGAAGAACAGAAAGAGGAAGTTGGATCACAGTGAGGTAAGACACCAAGTGGGTGGGTGATACAACACTTCCCTCACTCAACTGTGTAGTAAAACATGTCTTGTGTCACCCTATACCAACACACTTGGTCTTATACTGTAGTGAGATTACACTTAAACACAAAAATATCATCCTTTCCCTCACATAAAGTAAAGTACAGTACCTGTGCTGTACACTGAAGCTCCTGATGACCAGTTCAGTAATAGACAACACCTCACTGTGTATTGTACTGACTCAACACATTATGAGAGTTTCCTGTAAGAATACATCACAAGTCAACAGTGATGCAGAGTCCTCTCTATGTATTGTTGCAACTCTTCTTTATTCTTCCTCATGTGTAATGTTCCATGCAATCTCTGGCCGTTGTCAACCCCCCTGTACTGCATAGTCCCTCCTCCCCTTGAGCCTAGTCTTAATTAACCTTCTTGTATTTGTGTGTTTAAATTAATCTTTTATTCGGCTTTGTTACTCTCAGCTGCTGCACAAAACTCCATCTCTGGGTCTTAGAATGTTCCTTGGCTTGGGTAATAATAATGTTATTCACTCAACATTCTTCTGTAATGAATAACCTAAAGGTCTTATTAACCTGTGCTGTTGTACATAATAAAAAATAACATCTGATAACAATCCCCTCATAACACAACCTTACCAGTCTCCCCTTCCCCTCTCTACCTCTCCCCAATGAGATGTCGTCCCTCAAGTGCACTCATTCCCTCACTGTCTCTCTCATACCTTAAAACATCCATTGTACTTGTCATCTCCATCATCATCATCGAGAACATGACAGTCAAGGGTTGTCTTGTTTGATGTTCACCCAGTCAGTCTCCTTCCTTCCTTATTTCATCCATTTTTTTTCATTCTATTTTGTTTCCTGTTGCATCCTTCTAAGTCTTCCTCTTCTATGTCTTCACCTTACTCTCACATCTCTCTTATTTTCTTTCATTCATCACAACAACTACAAACATTAAGCAACAACATTCAACTTTGGCTTTACACATTAAAATAAATTTAAGCCGTGAAAATTTTGACATATTGAATTTTAGTCCGCGAATGAAACGTATCAACAATCAGTGCACTTTGTTTCAGTTGGCTTTCATTTATGTTACATTTTTAAAAGGTATTGAGCTGTTTTATGCATCAGTGGACATACTTCATTTGTGTGTGCAGTTTGCGTATGTGTGTACTGTATGGTCGTTAAGTGTCCATGTGTTTGTTTATGGTCTTGTGTCGTGGTACTGTCATTCCTGAGTCTCTTCTTGTGGTATCATTATGTGTGTGTGTGTACAGTGTGTTGTTATCATTATACAGTATATGTGTGTACAGTATCAGAATTCAGTGTTGTTTCTATGGGTTTGAAATCTCTCATTGCTTTTGGTAATGATGTGCTTCTTGCCATTGTGTCATTGCCATTGAGGAGTGTATCAGAGCCAGAGGTTGGACTCGGCTGTTTACTTGTAGCCAATGAAATCCGGGATTGATGTGTCTGTCACTCAAGATCACGTGTTAGCAAGTTTTAATTTACTACAGTACAACATTTTCTATATATTTACTGATAAGAACTCATTTAAGTTTGTATATGCCTGTCAGTCTTATTGTACTGTTAGAGATGTCTGTGTGTGTATATGGTGTGATGGTCAGCATGCTCGCCTTGCAAGCAAGCAGACCCGGGTTCAATCCCCAGGCAGGGTGAAACTATGGGCAAGTTTCTTTGCATCATATGCCTCTGTCTACCCAGCAGTAATTGGGAACCTTGATGTTAATCGATTTGCGGGTTGTGTTCTGGGGTAATGGTTAGCCAGTGCAGTTGGCGAGTTGTGCGGTCTTCTCGAACTATTCCTTGACACTGGGTCATGCACCTAACCTAACCTAGCTAGCCCTTAGGCCAGCCATCCTCATTACACAAAGGGCAACCTTTAGTGTGTGTCAATTCAAGCTAATTTTATCACTTTATTAAAACTCTCATTGGTTTCGTTGTCACGTATAATTGAATAGTTGTAAGGACTTGAAGATCGTAAAAGATGTCTCTCATATTGTCGTTACCTAACCATCGTCCATCACTGGTAATGGTGACCGGTAACTCCACATATCTCCAACACACATTATCCTGCCTTGTCTTCTCCAACAAAACACACTTGAGTTTCATATCCTTTATTTCTTGTTGTGTTAAAATTTGGTTGTTTTGTATCATAGTTCAGTATATCACAAGACCCATGTACAGGTATCTTATGAGTTCAGTATATCACAAGTATTAATTATCCTGTAAATAAATAAATATCATTTATAAATAAAGTTTGGTGTGACTAGTTTTAAAGAGAGAAAAATGTAGCATCATAAAACCAAGAAGGGTAATTACAGTAGTCGTGTTCCATGCACGTTATAGATCTGTGTGTCTTAGTACGTTATTTTCCAAGGTCTGACATGTACGTATTACTGTATAAGAGTGAGCCACCAGTCACGGCTCTAGTTATATCATTCTCTACTAGTCCGGCCACCTCTGGAAGGTATACATTTATTCCAATTAATTTCTGTAGAGCAAGTCGCCGCCCGCACAGGAGGAGGAAGTGCGAAGACCATCCATCGGAAGTTCCATTGGAAGTTCCATCGGGGGGCTGGGAGACATCGAGATCCCTCCGTTACTAACACAACAACAGAGCCTACCGAGACAGACGGGCTCCCTCGCCACCCACTCCGACGACCATGCCATAACCCGCATCAAGAACATGAAGATGATCGAGCTGGGGAAATATCGAATAAAACCGTGGTATTTTTCCCCTTATCCACAGGTAAAATATATACTGTACGGTATGTCTAAAAGATATTGCATCCATATAAAAGTGACACATAATGAGTTCAGGTCAAAACACTGCATATGACACCCAAACAGTTCTTTATGACCAAGGGATTGAATCTGTGTGTCTCTGGTTGGTTGTCATACTGAGTGAATTATGCCTCTCTCTTTCTTATCCTCCCTGCCACAAGTGTTCATGAGGAGAGAAATATTTTATACCAACATAAATAATTTAATAAGCAGCCATGATATATACAGTACTGTATATATTGTTACATCTCTGAAATATTGTTCCAAATACAGTACTGTACAGGAAAGTTTGTATTGTACTGTCATAGTTAATTGGGATAGTTTCTTATGTGTAATCATTAGTAGATATGTAAGGGAAGCTAATTTGTGAATCATCATCAATTTGGTGGTCAGGATTATGCTATGGATTATTTCTCTCCAAAGTCCACCATCTCGGTAGTAAATAATTATACAATACGGGAAACGATAAGTTACCTATTATTAATGTACCATAGTTTCTCCAGGTATTAACACGTGACTCTCTATCCGTTTGCTCAGGAAATCACCAACCTGGACTGTATCTACATCTGTGAATTCTGCCTGAAATATCGGAAGAGTCGGAAGTGCTTAGAGAGACACCTTGTGAGTTATTGTAGAGTTTATTACCTTTGTGTGTCCTGTGTCCGTCTATCTCAAGTACTTAGGGAGAACATTTGTTTCTTTCATATTTTATAATTTTTTAATAAGGCCTAAAAAATGAAAAATAATTTGTCCTTGAGGGGAAGTAGTAGTTATAGGTAATAATTGCTGAATGTTATCTCAGTTGATGTTATTATGGTATTACTTCTCAACAATCACTAAGGTCGTCGTGCATGTAACAAGTTTAATATTTACACCAGTATGCCTGTCATTAAAAGATACCAGAGATTGACCTCCTCTCTGCACAAAAGTCGGAGGTGTAAACTTATCTGCAATGAGTTCTTGTCAAATTTATCATATAAGCAATAAATTAAAATGATTTTCTCAAGTACAGTATAAACATTAATTCAACATTAGTTTTACATACGAGGAGGAAGCCACAGACATGATTGAATATTAATACAGTACATGTAAAATACAAGTGAGTCGATGTTTACTGTGAACTAAATGACTCTTGTAATGTCATTGCTATACTGTGAACCAAAGTCCTCCCTTGAAAGGATGGCTTGGAATTCCTTAACTAACACAGCTTAATGATGACTAGATAAGGATTTGAGTTAAAGTTTACATAATGATTTAAATATCCCAATTGTCACAGTATAATTAGGAATGATAGTCATGTAAGTTATATTTGTAAGACGAGATAAAATTGAAAATGCACTTAGTATTATTGTTGTTAAAAGTCTTGTAAGATTAATGCATTCATAGTGTTAGGTTAGGTGATAGTTTTTGTATTTCATGTATATTTTTTAATCCTTTTGTTTGTCTATTTATTTATTTTTTCCCCAGCAAAAATGTCCCTTCAAGCATCCACCAGGCAACGAAATTTACCGTAAGGGCTCTGTATCATTTTTTGAGCTTGACGGCCGAAAAAATAAATTATACGCACAGAATTTGTGCCTTTTAGCCAAGCTGTTTTTAGATCACAAGACGTTATACTACGACACCGATCCTTTCCTCTTCTACGTGATGACCGAATACGACGCCCGGGGCTACCACATAGTTGGTTACTTCTCTAAGGTAAGGGAGGGAGTCACTGATATTGATCTTTTACACTGGTGCTCTTGTAACTACAGTATATCTTATCTCATATTTCTTTCCACCTCACTGTTTCCCTCATCTCTCCTCATAATATTTATTCCCTTGAGGTCAATATTCCCTTTCCACCTCACTATTTAGCTCAGACTCTCTTCATAATACTGTCTTCAGGTTAATATTGTATTCCCGTTTTACCTGTTTCCCTCATAGCTTTGCCTTGTGAGCTTAAACAAATATTACTTCACTATAACTGCTGTACGTCATACCGTATTTTTACAGGAGAAGGAATCGTCCGAGGATTACAACGTGGCGTGTATATTGACTCTACCGCCTTACCAACGCAAAGGTTATGGTAAACTTCTCATTGAATTCAGTAAGTGTCTTGTAAAGTGTGTGAGTGTCTTGTGATTAGTAGTGTGTGTTAAGAGTTGAGTATGTCTTATATAGGGTTGAGTGTGTGTAGATAAATAGTTGTCACTCTTACTTTATTATAAGACCCTTGACTGGGAGTTGAGACAGATGTGTGACCTCTTCCACCCTTCTGTTTCCAACATGGTCTCCACTCAGTAACTCTCCCTAGATTAAGTAACATACATTTATAATTTGGTTTAAAAAGTGTATTATTGGAGGTTCTTGACTCGGTGTTGCTTCCTTGTTGTTATAATCGTTGTGTAGTTTAGGGATGGTCCATATTGGCTATACAGGTACTAATTCATGCAATATTAATTCTTTGTAAATAGACAACTGATTATCATGTAACATAACTTGTGTAGGTTTTGATTACCATAGACAAAATTCAAATTTATTTATAGTGGTGATAATTAAGTCTTTAAGATTTATTGTATATAATTATTTTTGTGCAGGTTACGAACTTTCAAAATTTGAAGGCAAGACCGGATCACCCGAGAAGCCACTCAGTGACTTGGGGCTGTTGTCGTATAGATCTTACTGGAAACAAACCATTCTGGAAATACTTATAGCACTGAAACCTCAAGAAGGACAAGAAAAACCTCAGCTGACAATCAAGTAAGATTTTTTTTCTTTCATCACCTGAAAAAAATCTCCATCCCAGTTATTTCACCTGAAGATTAATCTCTGGGTGGTAAATCTCGAGGTGAAATAAGCTGGGGTGGATATTTTTCTGGTGATCTGATTTTTAGCTAATTTTTTTTTTATTGTTTGTATTACTCTTCTGGCATGAGTGAGTAAATACCTCATTTGTTACCTGTACATATTGTTATAATGTGAAATATACTGTAGTCACACACAAGACCTGTTGCCTCTCCTGAGCCACAAACCCCAAGATTCAGACTCGTGAATCCGAAGCATTTATAAATAGACTAATGAACGCATGTCTCTTTTGCTCTGGGTTCACGAGTCTGAATCTCTGAGTTTGTGGAGCAGCGGAAGAGTCAACGGGACTTTTTGTGGTTGACTAGACACTTTAAGATGATGAGGAAATGCAAGTGTAAAGATTTTAACAAATATTTGAGGAGAAATTTGAATGAAGCCAAAAGTTTACAGGAGAGAAGGAAATATGTAGCATAGTATTTAAAGATTGTGCAAAAATTTATACATTACCATTTCTTTTTATTATTAACTACAGGTGCTCCTCTACTAACGAAAAATCGGACTTGGGAACAAGCCTCGGGTACGTACTATAACTTGTTCATAAGTAGAGGAGCACCTGTACTGTACTACCCAAGTACAGGTAAATTAGGATCAGGTTTGATCAAGTTATGGGTAGCTTAAGTACAGGGGTTAACTTAAGCAGCAATAAGTAATGATTGTCATTATCATGTCCAGATTTTTCTAAATAGTGAAGTAAAGATTTTGGTGCATTACCAAGTAAGATGTCATTGTTGCTGACAAGGTAATATTAATGGAAGTAAATCTTTAAAAGCTTATTATTAACCAATTATTAATTATGAGTATATTTTCATGTTTTCAGTGAAATCTGTGAACAGACGAGCATCAAGAAGGAAGACGTTATATCGACACTCACCAACTTAGAATTAATTAACTACTACCGTGGACAGTACATCCTGACGTTAAATAAAGATCTGGTCGATAGTCATAAAAAAATTATGGAGAAGAGAAAAATTAGAATCGACTCTAAATATTTGCACTGGACGCCCAAAGACTGGGCAAAGAGAGGCAAGTGGTGAAATATTTAGTTGTAGGAAATACGTTAACGTGAAATATGTACATATTCCCGTATGTAATACACATACTTATTATATTTATATATACAATTTTATTTAATGCACTATGTACAGTATATATAATTATTCATCAGTGAAACTGATGTACATTTTATACAAATATATGAAAAAGGACTTAATCTAGATATTTATTACCCAAGAAGAAATGATATATGTTTTAGCTCAACTGGTCAAGCTGTTTTTATAGCCAGTTTCCAGTCTCTAATGTCACATCAAAGGTTCAGTGCCCACATAAGTTAAAGCTTCATGGTGGAGATTTAACTCGTGATAGGAACGGCGGCCGACCGTAAAACTTCGTCGTCAGGTGCCAACCGGGACACCATGCCTTCAGGTAATGTCCACGAACCCAGAAATTCAGCCCCATGAGTAGAATAATGTATTGGTCTACTGCTTCGGGTTCACGGGGAGTGGTGAATGTACTCGAGTAATTCACTGTCCAGTATTCACGACTAACTTACACAAGCTTAAAAAATGGTCTTAAGTGGTAAGGTGTCTCATGCCGACTCTTGCATTCTTTCTCATCCACCTCATGATATTATAGCCACTCAATACTATCCTTAGATCACCTGATGATTACACACCTCTGGTAGGTAGGATTTTAAGGTGTTTAATCATAGTGAAATAAGCTGGTGTCTGATCTTTAGGCAATCCCTCCCCTCTGTATAATGAGTTGAGCTGCTTCCAGGATGAGGAGACTAACACCTTTAAAAAATGCACAACGTTAAGTGAGATGAAGTGTTCATTACTCTTGCTTCCAGCCTCTGAACAGTAGGAAGTCACTGAAGAATTAAGAGGTAACAATTATAACTCCTTATAGCTAATGTTAAATACAAGAAAAGAAAGTCAAGTTAGTAGTAGTTATTTTATTGTTTATTTTACAAGCACAAAATGACTTGAGAGTGCAAGGGATTCAGATTCTGTATACCCATCTATACATATATATTTACACACTCCATACAGACTTTTTCACATTAAACTGTGTAATATGCCCCATATAAATCCCTCTTATTTCCAACATTGTACATTCAGTTCACTTGAAAAAATAGCATTGTGTTGACTAATGACTCAAAATGAGGAATATCTCCAGTTTAAAATGAGCTCACATCTTTGGTCAGCCCCTCTGCTACTTAAACAATCACAAAATTTCATATGCAAAACTCTGCTTAAGGAAAATCTATTGGTACATTTTTTTTTAATAATATATTCTTAACTATCTGCCACTCAATATGAGGAAGGAATATGTTTAGTAAAAAAAATACCCATCGTCACACTTCATAAATACCCCACAATTATATTTCTCCCCCGAGTTAATACACTGTACTCAAACTGTCACTTCTGATGCCTTCGTCCAATTGGTAATTCTAATACTAAGAAAACCTCTCTAAAAAAAACAAACCAACCACTATTATCCATTATTTTTTGTATTATAAAAAACTAGCTCTCTTGGTGCTGAGAACATAACCAGCATGAGAAAATATGAAGCCATCTGGTCTACATACATCACGAGGTACCAGGAATAATAGAGAAAAAATCCATCCCTGGATTACTTACAACAGGTACCGTGAAATAAAAGGAACAAAAGTTTCTCGGTAAATGCGAGATGATGAAAAATAACTCGCCACAAAAATGGTGAATAACAAATGAATGACAAAAACTAATGGAGTGAAGTTTGGGTCTAGTCACCGGTTCATCGAGGATAGACCAGCTGGGTTGCCGTCATGGCTTCTGGGAAAAGGGAATGGTAACTCATGACTGGCACGTACGCTGCAGTTATCATCTTGCCTGTTGGGGCGGAGACAAAAAATTACCATCGTGCAACAGAAGCATAGATATTTAAAGCACTGTCATTCACACATTGCAATATACACACTGAAGTTATATTAGAATTGATCTACAGTTCACATAAATGCTACAAAATCAAGAACAGGAATGAGAATTATGTAGATAGGACTTACCAGCAAACCAACGTCCATGAAGTGCATTGACCGAAGCAGCTGCTGTTGCTATGGTTGGGCACTTGACATAGACGTTACCTTGAGCAGACTGTCGGTCCACAAAGATGTGCAACACACCACCATGTTTGTTGCACTCCTCTAAAACATCATCTCGAATTTCATCTGCCCAATTAGGATTAGATTCTCTGTAACATAAAATAAAGAAATTACTTAAATGCCATTAACTTAAAGAATAATCGACACAGTGTGGAGGCTTATAAGTTTTGTGTTCTTTAAAGATTATTTTTGTCTATTTGTGCAGTAAGAGAAATGCTCAAACTTTTATGCCATTTAAATTGTATTGAAAACAAGAACTGACTGTCTTTTATAAACTTTCAACTGTAGGTAAAGTTTTCATTTCACTCTCATGAACCATTCTGCACATTGGCTAAGTTAAACATAAAGACTCTCCAATCACCCTTACTACCCTAACATGTGTTCTGCTATGATTTTCACCTTTATGACAAAAAAGGAAAAGGAAAATTGGACATACACATAAGAGGTAAGTTAACAACGACTGGTAATGTTATTTTTGGAGTCTACATAGGCCCAATTATATTGTATATGAAAGGATTATATTATACATTTAGACCAACACAAACTGCAGTTACTCACGTAGAAGGATCAAACATGTTGGAGAGGAGAAAACACTGAGTTGCAATGGGTGGTGCTGGTTGTTGTTGGGGTTGGGCGGGCATGTGTAATGCATTTGCAGCTGCTGCAGGGAGCTGGAGACCTGTGCCTTCAGCCAACTTGGCCATCAGCTGAAGCCGTCCTGTTGCACCTGTAGATACAGTACAGTGCACACTTCAAGATAAAACTTCACCATTTTATCATCTTCCTATTCCCTTCTGTTTTTTTTACCTATTTTATTTTATACCCAAGATAATTGACTCAATAAGTACTAGATAAAATAAAATTACTTCAACTGTGTTTACTGGAGGAATAATATTCATGGATATAAATACAAGAACTGAAAACATTAAAAACAATACATCAAACTCGTACGTACCCAAATCAATGCCCGCCCTCTCCATTTCATCTGAATCAAGAAGGGAAGTTCCCTGCTGTGTTTCTGAGCGTTCTGTGACGTGGTTCACCTTCATAGGTCGTCCAGCTAACTCAAACCCATTCAACTGTTCTAATGCCTTTTTAGCATCATCAGAATTATGGAACTGAAAACAGAAATTTTTTAATTCAATTGAAGCATCAATGAAAATATAAGTTAACTGTTAATACCAACATATGAACTCACTCTATATCTAGAATTTACAAGTGCCTTCTTAGCTGATCAGGTAGACTCACTATTCCCTAATATTATACCATTCACTTTTATTTACAAGACCTGACTTCAATGGGGACTTCATTCCAGGATAAAAAGTAGGTTTACATGATACGAGACAACAGGTAATACAGTCATGGTTGGGTCGAGGTGGTTAGCCCGCGCCAGGGAGGGTAACCGAGTCAAGGTCACAAATATTACTTAAATATGGTCATTACAGTTGATTGTGGTAGTAGAGGAATGATAATAGTCTATTTCTTAATAAGAGAACAATAACGGAGCCTCAATAACTTACTGTAATGAACCCGTATCCTTTAGATCTTCCTGTTTCAGAGTCCATTATCAACTGTATGTGGTCAATCTTCCCAAAGGGTTCAAATATGCCTCTGAGCATGTCCTCTGTGATGTTGAAGTGTAAGGAACCCACATACAGTCTCATTGGACCTGCAGCAGCCTTCTGGTCTTGTACGGCCGCTGTCGACGCTGCACGGTTCTTCTCCGCTTGCGTTGGCTGGCACACGATAGGCACCCCGAGTATCTTCTGACCCGATAATCCCAAGGCCTGCGAAATAAACCAACGTTGACTTATGAAGTACACGATGTTGAACAGCAATTTGTAACTAACGTAAAAGTTGCTACTATACTTAATTAAAAATTTAGTGAAACTCTTTAGACCATGCAGAGGCAGGACCAACACACCAATTGTTATCCATTTACCTAACTTTTATAACATCCCCCATAATCCTGTCCATAACATCCTATCCTATGTAGGCCTCTCTTGGTGTGTCTTCCTTCCCTCAGTGGTCTTCTCTCACATATTGTACAATATTTTAACCTATTTCTTACTTCCCACCCTCTTAGTACATCAACACCATCATGGGAATGTACTACAGATACCATACTGTCTATAATGATAACAGACCTAGCCTTCCATCTATCTACCCTACAGTCTAACCTCTTCCACCATGACGAATCTCAAAATATGAATCAGCAGTCTCTCTGCACCTTGCAAGTCAAATTCAATAAAAAATAACACAAACTGATGTAAATTTGCATGTTAGCTTGTTCATTCCATACAACAAGCAGTCTTGACCAGCTTGCACTTGGAGAAAATCAATCCCTACTTAGCTTATATCGGTGAAGTAAATAAATAAGGATACACCCGTTACCTTAAGTCAAGTTGCTTTAGTGAAATCCTTTTAGCATTACTAATTCTCCTTTAAAAGAGTTTACTGCCTTTATGTTTAATTCCTATGATCATAATAAACCTACTTCATGAACATGTTATACTGAACTGCCTAACAGAGACTTGGACAAACCTAAGGATATTCATTCATTCCCCAAGATGTAAAATTAACACTTAAATTAGTCAATATTTTCATGAATAACAGATGCAATGACATAATTAATCTTCTGAGGGTGATGATAATAGCACAGATGGTGGCCAATACTGAGGATGATAGCACACAATGTCTCAGTGACTCACTAAAGCACCAAGACGGGGAACCAGAACTCACCAATGGGACAGATTCTACATCACAAAACTCAACATAAGCAATTCCCTTTGATCTGCGAGTCTTTGTGTCTGTGATGATGCGGACGTCGTTGACCTTCCCCACGACGGAGAAGAAGTCCTCCAGATCACGTGACCGGATGCGAGAAGAGAGCTGCATGCAGAAGACAGTTCGAGCATCTCTCTCCTCGACAGAAAGTTCTCTGAAAAATATAAATAAGAAAAATGAAGTAACGAGCTGTATACCATAAATAAAATAATAAAAAACGGTAAACAAAATAAATAATAAAGTTTATCAAGCCACACACCATCAATATTTTATGAACCCAACAACTACCACGCCCAAGTGACTAGAAACATCCTCCATTACGTACGTTTTAGGTGTCTTGCTCCTGGACCTGGAGCGTCTGTGGTCCCTACTACGGCTCCGTCTGCGTTCGCGGCTGCGGCTTTTGCGGCGTCGCTCGCGGCTTCGGCTCCTGGTGCGGCGGCGTTCCTTAGACCGTGACTTACGCCGCTTGTCACGTGACCGCGACCGCGATTTTTTCTTGCGGTCGCGGTCCTTTGAACGCGAGCGTGACTTCCTCCTGCGGTCCTTGTCCTTAGACCTGCTCCTGGTTTTCTTTCGGCGGTCTTTATCGCGGGACTTGCTGAGTGATCTCCTGCGTCTATCCTTGTCCCTATCTCTGTCTTTGTCTCTGTCTCTGTCCTTATCTTTGTCCTTAACTCTGTCTCTGTCTCTATCCCTATCTCTTTTCTCCTTATCTCTGTCTCTTTCCCTGTCTCTATCTTTGTCTCTGTCTTTGTCTTTCCTGAAAATACACAAACATTAGAACTGGATATAAAAATTAATTACACCAATGCTAACAATAATCGCCTAAAAATGTATTAATAAAAATGAATGACCAAGAATTAATTACATCAATGCCAAGAATAATCACCAAGAATTAATTACTTTGATGTAACATTATTCACCTCAGGAATTAATTACAGTACAGTATATTATTCATTATTCATCTCCAAGGAATTACATCAATAATAACATTAATCACCTAAAAAATTAATTACTGTACATTGATGCAAACATTATTCATTTATCTATAACACCAACCCACTATAGAAGGAAAGAATACATCGCCACTTCATAAAACAAAAAACACTCACCTGTCTTTCGAGGATGTGTGTCCATTTTCCTTTGGTTTGGCGTCTGCCGACGAGCTGCCTCCGTCCTAGGGGAGCACAAGAGACGGTGTAACGGCAGCACCAGCCACAGGTGGGTGGTGGGAGAAGGGCAAGGGTGGGGGAGAAGAAAACAGAACAGCCACGCATTAGTTCTCTACAAAGTTATCAAAACCTAACATTACGTTCTCCCACCAAGTAATAAAACTTGGCTATAAAGACTGATTTCAGACATGGTTAAAAAAGCTATTATGTAATAGTATACCTTGAGGGAAACTCCTGTAATGGGGGTAATGTATTGGTGGACATTTACAAAGACACAAAGTCCAAGAGTTTCTCAACAAGGTCTGCACTACAAGATCTTCCATGTCATCATCAACCATACCACACTTCATCTTCCACCTGGTATACATGTAAACTCACTAATGGCTCACAGTCACACAATTCTTCATACAAGTTTATCAGTCACACTACCGATGCCAACACTAAAACATGTTGGGTCACTGTCAAAACCACAAGGATACACTAAATATAGTGCACCCCTAATGAAATTCACACTTTCGGTGCACCATCTAGCTCTGTGCACCGACATAGTATACATAATGCCGTATCCTCCAGCCCGCTAGTACCTGATGTCTCTCTAGCCGTAGGGTCCAACCAAGGCACGGCCGCCTGCAAAACGCAAACTTTAGACTGGAGCCTTGACGCCACGTGAAGTTATATTGCATCAATATACAACACATGCACCAGTCACAGCACAAGAGGAAAATTAATAATAAAAAAAAAGAGGAATATAAGATCAGACTGACCACAGCAGAACTTAACATTTTCTTCAAGGTTATACCTGTTTTACTGACTGTCCTCATGACACATAAACAACAAATATTGTGGTCAATTTAAGGTGGTGGGTGTTGAGTGGAGTGAGTAACGAGCGAGATCCCTCGGTGTTCTGAGCTTGCCAGCGCCAGCATCTGAGTGGAGATACCAAGTTGTCAGTACCAGGCCACCACCGACACACTGAAGCTGCACCAATAACCACTTTTTTTTCTTTTCACTTTGGTACCATTCTGTTAGCACAGCAGTGTTCACTACTATTTCTTCATTTGCTTGGAAACTTCAGCAATTCACAAGTTACTTCTTAACTTCTATTTAGGAAATTAAACTTTAAAAACAATTTCAAAAATTCCCTCCAAAGAATATTTCACGAAAAAAAAGCCAGTGACAAAAGATAACACAGCAAGCCTATGAAAGAAATGTCCTTGAAATCCTTGTTAGGGTTTTCATTTCTAGGAAAACATCTATTCAAGATATCATGATCATCTTACAGTTTGATATATATACAATATCCAAGAAAGAGAGACACAAGATATCCTGATGAGAGCTTCATTAGACTTGCTACATTCTCTTCCTACCTTAAACTATGGTGCCCTAAACTTTGAAGAGTAATTTATTACATAAGAGATAATCCAACTGGCTCGGTATACTGTTTATACTGTATCCTATATCAAGTTACTTCAGGAACTGCTGCTTAACTACCACTATGACTCATCTAAGTTAGAAACATCCAATTATCTTACTTAAAACTCATGTACAGTACATGTATTTAACTTAAGGTGACTCAAAACAATATTTGCTACAAACTACTTTTTTTCTGAGCAAGACCATAGGTAAGATGAAAGTTTTAGTGAGAATACTAGCAATGACTTACAGAGGTATAGCTGTTCCTAACCACACCAAATACATTTAGGAAATACAGGCCAACATCTCGAGTCTCTACTCGACTCCTCAGCGAAAAACATTTTGCCATGAAGAATCTAGTTAAAACTCTTAGTTTCTGCCATCTTGTTTCTGCAATGTATTTTGGTCAATTAGTGAACAGCTCACATGACACTTCATTGTGTCTGGTGTTGAACAAGAGGTATAACTTATGACTACCAGTACCTGGCGGTGGTGGGAGCACAGTATTCGAGCTCACGACCGTTTTATCATGGAGGGTGGGAGACAGTGACTGAATAGGTTATCTAAAACAACAGAGAACGGGGAGAGAAGATCAGCGAAGCACACGCCAGATTCACACTCACCAACTTACAGCCTTGGTGAAAAAAATAAAAAATAATTAAGATATATATTACAGATAGTGTGTAAAGTATTGTTTAATAGTCAATAAATAATACCAAACATGTATGCCAACTAGAGTGAGTTATTCCCTTAAGTGAAACAAGTGCAGTACAATTATTCAACAAGGCTGCAAGATCATACATAAATATACCAACACACTCACACCCATACTGGTATACTTCCATATAACTAATACACACACAACATCCATCCACAAGTTCATTATACAGTAGTAATGTTATACACCTGAGTCACATAAAATCACTCTGTAAATGAAGAATGGCTTCGAACAGTTTCTGCAAAAAACAAGCACTGTATGTCAATCTTATCTGATACTGGAAGTCTTTCACATTATTTATAACTAATACTTCTTTTAACTATTCTTGTCAGTTATTTTCAATCAGTTTCACAAAAGGAAGTAAATTCATCAACTTTTATATGTCATTAGATTAAAAAAATAATACTACAGTATTATATTTTAATAGAGGTAAAGATTCAATCATTCTATCATCAGTGTTAATTATACCTGAAAGTAAAGAATGATAGCAACCATCTACATCACTTACCTCCTTTTTAAATGGGGCTTCCAACATGGCATCAACATCAAGGTCATCTGTCATTTCCGACTCTGCAAAATAATACTGTAATAATAATAGGAACAATAATAATAGTAGTCGTAACAATGATGTAGTAATAATAATTTCTAGCAATGATCTATACAGTACTCTTAATTTTATTTGTGGATTAACCACTAAACTAATGTATTTATTATACGTAGGCACTGAAACACTTGCACAGTACCATACACTGTTATCAACAATGGGGGTACTGAACGGACTAGCTCATGTGAGGAGGGTGAAGGGGAGGGGCACTTGATCCGAGGCAATCCCATGGTTCACTGAATTGCTGGCCTTACCAACCAACCCAACTAACCACACCTAACTAACTAAACTCAGAATTATTCCAACATTGTTAATTTAACCCTATTGCAGCAGTTGGCATCACATGAGAAAAGCCTTCAATGTCACCGGATCAGCTCAAATGGGAAATAACTTTTTGGTACAATACATTTGAAATATACACGAGGTGCTTGGCTCCCCCGTGCCACTAGAGGCCTATGGCTGTCAGTGGATCAAGCAGCATCACCACGTCGTGTCTGGCAGCCGTTAACCCCCAAGACATGATAGATTCCTCATGTGTCCCAACCTCTCCTGCCCCCCCCCCTCCCTCCACCACCTTGTAAATATGTAAAAGTTAGTAGAATAAGGAAATTTTTGTCGTGTGAAACAAGTACATATATGTGTGAAACAAAACAAAGGCTTACACATGGTTTACATCACACTTACTTCTCTCTGCTATCTCCTCATAACTTCCCGACCATCCACTAAAACATGAGTACAGACATGTTTTTATTTGTTTTGGCAAGATTATGTAACCATCCCTAACACATGTATAAACACGTGTCATAACAAATACCAAACAGAAGCCAATCTGACCTTTATATACACAACAAATCTCATTTTTCAGATCACTGTATCTTTAAAATCACCCAAGCAATTTATAGCACCTTCTACAGCTGTGATATAATACAGGTACAGCAGCCATAACTATGTGAAATGTAGACGTTTATTGGTCCAGTAGCATGGGTGCTGGACAACTCGTACCCAAGCAAATCGTACCAATCAGAACACGTCAACTCGTAACCAATTTACGTGACAGTTCGTACATTCAGCAGCCGGTGCATGCCTAGTACTTGCCAACAGTGTGTAACAGAGACGTGACCGATCGTCCAAGCGGCTAACGAGCAGATCAGTGGTGAAGAGGATAAAGGTAATGTAAGTAAAGAAATATATATTAATGAATTGGCAACTCAACTACAACCACAGCTGCCACAAGATTCTCATATCAAATTTTCTTCATTATTTAAACAAATACATGTAGAGGGTATACGAACACTTGGAAACTTCTCATGACCTTAAACAACAATGAATAGTTTATTATAATAAATATGCTGCCTTTGGTTTGTTTAATATTTATCCTGACAGTGATACAGCCGAAAACAGATCCAACAATCACAATCATTTTTACATACAGCCTTCTTTTACCAACTATTGCCAGGTAAAATTGTGAGCACGAGACCCAAGGTGGGTTCGGTGCATCTTTGGCTGACTGTACAAGCCATAGATGATATAAAGCGAACAGAGAATGCATTTAATAAATAAACAAAAGAAGAATAAAGTGGTATATACAGGTAGTCCCCGACTTACGACTGCTTCAACTTACGTCCATCGGTACTAACAACCTGCTCTGACCTTACGACCGCGGCAGTCGTGACCAAAAATATTTTCAAAGGACGCGCACATTTTCTATACCGAAACGTTTCCGTCCCGGGCGAGAACGTGGCGTGGCTTGGGTCACTGTGTGGGTACACTCACTCAGTACAGCGCTTAGTTGGTGTTTGGTTATCGTATCCAATACTGATCGCGCTGTGAACTTTCGTTATTATTGTATTTAATTGACTTTATTATGACTGGAAAGCGTAAAAGTGTGAGTGCTGGTGGTACTCCAAAGAAAAGGAAACAGGCAATTATTTTTGAGAGGAAAATGAAGATAATAATGCAATATGAGAATGGAAAAAATGTTGCAACAATCTCACGTGACCTAGGTTTCTCACACTCGACCATATCCACTATTCTGAAGGACAAGGAAGGTATTCGTGATGTAGTGAAAGGATCAACACCTATAAAGGGAACTATAATTTCGAAGAAAAGACAAGGTCCCATTCATGAGATGGAAAAATTATTGGTGAGATGGATAGAAGACCAGATACCGAAGCGTGTGCCCTTAAGCCTTCTAACCTTACAGGCTAAAGCAAGAAGCCTGTTCCAAAGCCTGAAGGAGCAGGCAGGAAATGAATGTGATCAAACCTTTACAGGAAGTCATGGGTGGTTTGATAGATTTAAAAAATGCTACAGTCTACACAATGTTAAGGTGAGTGGAGAGGCAGCTAGTGCTGATGTTGGTGCTGCCGAAGCTTTTAAGGAGGAGTTAGATGAAGTGATTGTGGAAGGGAATTATTTGCCTGAGCAAATATTCAATGAGGATGAGACTGGATTATTGTGGAAGCGCATGCCTGAGCGGACATACATCCACAAAGAGGCGAAAACAATGCCAGGATTCAAGGACAGAATTACACTTCTGTTGGGGGGGAATGTTGCTGGTTTCAAGCTAAAGCCCTTCATGATCTATCATTCAGAGAACCCCAGGGCTTTTAAACATGTCAGCAAGCACACACTGCCAGTGTTTTATCGCAGTAATAAGAAAGCCTGGATGACCTTAGCACTGTTTGAGGATTGGTTCATTCCACGAGCCAAGGAGTATTGTCTGCAACAACGGATTCCATTCAAGATTTTGCTGATTTTGGATAATGCTCCGGGACACCCACCACACCTGGACGACATGCACCCTGATGTTAAGGTAGTCTACATTCCACCTAACACTACCTCTGTCATCCAACCCATGGATCAAGGTGCTATTGCTGCCTTTAAAGCGTATTATTTACGTCCGACCTTCGCTAAGGCTGTTGCTGCTACTGAAGGTGAGACAAAGCTCAGAGAGTTTTGGAAGGAGTACAACGTTTTGTCATGTATAAAGAACATTAGTGCAGCATGGGATCAGGTTACAAAACATTGCATGAATGGAATATGGAAGAAAATCCTGAAAAGATATGTGAACAGTTTCAAAGGATTTAATGAAAATGAAGTTATTTCGGATATTAGTAACAAGATAGTGGAGTTAGGTAAACAGCTGGAGTTAGAAATTGATAATGAAGATGTTGAACAGTTGGTTGAAAGTGTAGCAGAAGAGCTCAGTAACGAGGATCTTATTGAACTAGATGCACAGAAAATTGCAGAGGAAGAAGAGAGACAAAATGTAGAAGAAGAACCTGCACCCCCCAAAAAGTTTTCAGTGAAACAAATGGCAGAGGCATTTGCTACAATTAATAAAGGAATGCAAATGTTTGATGGCATGGATCAAAATTATGAGCGTTATGCCAAAGTTGACAGAATGATCCAAGATGCACTTGCTTGCTACAGAGAAATTTATAATGAAAAGAAAAAACAAACTGTGCAGTCTAAATTGGACATCTATTTTAAGAAGTCCCCCAGTGCTGTCTCCTTCAGTGCTGCCTCTTCACTCCCTCAAGATGATCCAATACCTTCAACCAGCAAGTTTCCACAGTACATAAACCTGTCTGAAGAAAGCACATTGATGACCCACCCAGCCCTGTCTCCTCCTCTGCTTCATCCAATTAATGTAGTCTCCATGTATAATTAGAAAATTATGGGGGCCCCGTGTGCATTCAGCTGACTACATTAAAGGTAAGTGCTCAGTCACACTGTATCCATTCCTCATTATTTATTACTTTTACTGCACTGTTTTTCATTGTAGATTTTTTTTAATTAACTTTTTTTTTATCTATGTCGGACTTAAGACCTGGATTTGGGTCCCTAACCCCGTCGTAAGTCGGGGAGCACGTGTGTGTGTGTGTGTGTGTGTGTGTGTGTGTGTATATATATATATATATATATATATATATATATATATATATATATATATATATATATATATATATATATATATATATATATATATATATATATATATATATATATATATATATATAATCAACACCTCAACCGAAGCATTCAACAAGCACAAGCTGGACAATTTTGTAATTAAGAAGATTTGTGACCAGGTGAGAAGGCTGGGTCACCTGACCATCTGACCTGACCACCAACTGTTGTGTGCTATTTAAAGATTAGTAGGGTCATTACCTAATACCTGACCATTGTGGACCTGGTCTCACCCTTCTCTGTATATATACACCTTGATTTGTATTTCTCTCTCTAGTCTGTACTCACCCCTGAAGATGTGAATTACACGAAAGCGCTTGGGAACTTCGTGTTTTCTTCTTTCCTTGTGGTTATCAGCATATACCTAGATCACGTGCACCTACAGTGATTTACTTGCATATATGTATATGTATATATATATATATATATATATATATATATATATATATATATATATATATATATATATATATATATATATATATATATATATATATATATATATATATATATATATAAATATATATATATATATATATATATATATATATATATATATATATATATATATATATATATATATATATATATATATATATATATATATATATATATATATACATACATACATACATACATATATCAATTTTAACGTGGACAAGGTTGATTTTAATATATGAATAGCAATGTTTTTTAGCTTTACTTTAACAAATTAAGAGTAAATACATCTGCTCTTGGTCTCTCTAAATAGGAAGAGCGTGAATATTGGGCGACACATAATCAGTCGTTACGTTACCCATACTGGTCTTGTTTCCGTGACTTTTTAAACAAATCTACCCAGAGTTTCACTAACATAACTAACTGTATATGTGTTGGCCAATGTTCTCACTCTTCGTTCTTTTATATCCTTATTACTACTGTATTTCATTCTTGACGTTGACATGTCAGAAGAAGAAATTCCCGACGATGTCACGATGTCAGCCACTCCGTAGAACAAGTTCGTTGTACCGGAAGAAGTACCAGAGAGGAGCCCTTATTATATACTTTACACGGACTGATTTGTTTACAAAAACCTGGAGCTGGAAAAACATTCTGTTTTTATACATGTCTATATTTTGTTGACTTATGACCAATTTAAACGTTTACATCGCCAAGTTTATAAACTGAAACTGCCAAATCTATTAGCGTCAAATCTGTAAATTGCAATAAAGTTATTCTAAACCACAGTGTGAAATATGTACTTGTCGTGCAATATTTGTGTGACGGAATAACATACTTATGTAATGAGATGCAACCATTTTAAAGCCTGCATTTTATTTCCCTATTTCACTGCACTTTCTTACAAGGTTTACATAATCTTTTTTGTGGTCCGACTAATTACCCAAATGTACCCAAATGTAGCCGCAATGAAGCCAAATGATGGTCCTACAAGCGTAAATCAGGCTGTGAATCCCTTCTCGATTATAATTTGGTGTCAGTCACAAAAAATTGGTAAACTTAATTTAATCCGAGTTGTGTTGTGTTAGGTTAGGTACATGCACTCGATCTATTAACTCAGATTAAATTAAGTTTACCAATTTTTTGTGACTTCATGACACCAAATACTAGTCGAGAAGTGATTGGCAGTCCGATTTATTCATGTAGGACCATTATTTGACTTCATTGCGGCTACATTTGGGTAATTAGTCGGACCCCTTTTTTTGTAATCATAGATAAAGCTAAAATGCATGGTATATATACTAATAGGTATGGATTATCTCTTGAATTGTGTGTAAGTTATCTTGGGTACGAGCTGTCTTGGGTACAGGTTGACTTTTTTGGGTACGAATTATCTTGGATACGAGATGACCCTAACCGCAGTAGCAGACAATAATAGTTACTAACATGGCCTTCTTTCTGACTAACCTTACATAACCTAAGCTAACTTAATCTAACCTAACCATTAATAACACAGTTCATCAATACAGCTGCTATATCCACTACAGTACGTTCTGTAAAACCATTACTCATATTCACACTGGTTCAACTTGCTGATGCTAGACAACTAAATCTTCTTTTCCATTGGGAGTCTGTATAAGAGATGGGTTTAATTAATGAAATTAAACGTATTAAAACAAATACATAAATTTGTGATTAGAAATAAAATAAACAATACATTGTACTCAAGACTTAATTGTGGGTCATATTCACTTAATAAAAATCGACAAACTATGCATCTCTCTGTAATAACATTTATATCAGCCATTTAATATAGTATTTTATAAGAATTAAAGGATATATATTATACCAATATTTTAAGGATATAACATAATTGGTGTTTGCTTGACCACGTATAATTATGACACCATCCTTGTTTTATATTTTTCCTTATAACCAATTATACCGAACCCTATAACTTACCTACCCCTTCTTAACCTTCCATTGATACATTAAATAGTTTGGTAAAGATAATGAACAAGAGAGGTAACAAGAACTAACAAAGTCTACCATAGGAAATCCATGAAGTCTTTTCCCATATCCACCCATGACTTAAAAATACCATTATCAATCATTCCTTCATATTTAACTACCAATCAACCAAATTAACACAACAAGGATACATGTCTACAAATAACACAACACTAAACATTCACATAACAATGAATTTAACAGGAAAAAAACACAATTACGTATTAAAAAAAAACCTTCCCAAAGCGTCCAACAACGTTCGCCATTACGCCACAAGCCCAAGAGAAGCCACATCATAACTAACCCATTTTTCTCCTTTATTTCAGAAATTATTAACCCCTACACATCTATAATATAACCCAGGCATATTAAAATAACTTTCTGGAGTATTAAAATATAAATAACTTACTCATTTGCGGCGATATGATGGAGTTTATGGCGAAGCAGAGAGTGTAGACTGTGAGAGGTGTTGTACGGGGCTCACATTGATCCACCCAGGGACTACAGCCAGGGAACATCGCCTTGCGCACCCTCTCTACCTCTACCTATCTACTCTCTACCTATCTACCTATCTACTCTCTACCTCTTATTTAATTGTTGATGGTATAGTGTTATGGGGTTAAAGCTCTTGGTTTTTAAAGTGTAGTAACTCCTTCTACCTATCTACCTCTACTGATCTACCTCTACTCTCTACCTATCTACCTCTACTCTCTACCTATCTACCTCTACTCTCTACCTATCTACCTCTACTCTCTACCTATCTACCTCTTATTTTATTGTTGATGGAGTAGTATTGTGAGGTTTAAAGATCATGGTTGTTGAAGCGTCAGTAATAATGTAACGTCAATGTCTACCTGTACTTTCTACATATCTACCTTTACCTCACTTATATAAATATGACATAAACCACATTGAATCAGAGTTTACATAATGCAAGTATACAATTTGTACTATTCATAGTCATCAAGTATACATGTACAGTCCCCTTCACTTGTGCGCTTACATAAGAACATAAGAATGGAGGAAACTGCAGCGGACCTATTGACCCATACTGGGCAGTCCCGTTTACACCCAACCCCTATTGCTCATATAAGCATCCAACCTATGTTTGAAGCTATTCAGCGTATTCGAGTTAATGATGATATTTGGTAACTTGTTCCATTCATCCACCACTCTGTTTCCAAACCAGTGTTTACCTATTTTACGCCTAAATCTAAATTTGTCTAATTTAAAACCATTGTTACGAGTTCGCTCCTGGTTGGATAATTTGAGTACCTTTGTAATGTCCCCTTTGTTTAGCCCTGCCTTCCACTTATACACCTCTATCAGGTCGCCCCTCGCTCTATGTCTCTCAAGGGAGTGCAAATTAAGATGCTTTAACCTGTCTCTATACTCAAGGTTCCTAATGCCCGGGATTAGTCTTGTCATTCTCCTCTGAATTCTTTCCAAGGATTCTATATCCATTCTGTAATACGGTGACCAGAACTGAACTGCGTAATCCAGGTGTGGTCTCACAAGAGCAAGATACAGTTTTAGGATGACCTCGCTAGTCTTGTAACTAACACTCCTTTGTATGAACCCAAGTACTTTATTAGCCTTGTTACGAGCAAAAACACATTGTTTACTTGGCTTAAGGTTCCTACTTATCATTACTCCTAAATCTCTCTCGCAGTCGGATTTCTCTATGGCATCGTTGTTCATCTGGTATCTGGTTTCCCTGTTTACATCTCCTATACTGAGTACTTTACAATTGTCCACGTTGAATTTCATCTGCCATTTTTCAGACCATTCGAAAAATTTGTTTAGGTCTTCCTGTAGTTTTGCCGAGTCCTCGTCAGATTTGATAACACGTCCTATTTTAGTGTCATCAGCAAATTTACTTATGTTGCTGTCTATGCCGATATCTATGTCGTTTATGTATATAATAAACAATAATGGTCCAAGTACTGAGCCTTGGGGAACTCTACTTGTGACGTTGCTCCAATGGGACTTAGTTCATCATATAAACCACTACCTCATCTGCAAATTTGGTAAGAAGCTTCTGCACCATCCTCGACACTGGCTCCTACTACCACCTGTGATCCCTAGCCCGAGAATTGCTGTTCAACACCACAACCGCATCCAGCCCATACGTGCACGAACTGATCGCTATAAGAACAGCCCAGTCCCAACCATTGTAAAAATTATCAATAACTTGTAATAAATCAGTGTATTCACTCCCAGTAAACACTACTCCTTGCACTGTCACTATGTTGAAATGAACTGTAGTTTGAGCTTTTCCCCATCTAGTTATTATATATCTTATTTATATCACTTATGTTATTTGTATATTATTTGTAATTCGAAACCCATTCCCCAATTATGTAACTATATTTTCAGCCTTCTGGCTGCCAAGCTCTTTCAATAAACCGTTAATTATTATTATTATTATTATTAAACATTATTTGAGATATTTGTTTTAATGTTGTTTTAATGTGATTCCATAGTATGTTTATTATTGTGAGTTTCCTTCTGTTGAATGTAAACAAACACAGGGCTGCCACACTGCACAAAACCTGACGAGCCCCTGTAAACACACTAGTGAAGGGGACTGTAACAATAGACAGTGCAGGTATACAAGGTATTTAGTGCTGCAGGTCTATCCAGTGTTAGTACAGGAGGAAACCGGGGACCGGGAAACCTGTGGTGTTTGGTAGTGAGGGTCACACTGGATAACACCCTTCTGGAGACTGGTGCCTGCACTTCGGCACCTCAACTACCCTGAGAGATTGGAGCGCCTGAACTTGCCTAGCTTACAGGTATACTACAGATGGGCAAGGGGTGACCTAATTGAGGTGTATAAGCATCTCAAGGGGCACTGCTCAGTTGAGTCTCCTTACTTGGAGCTGGCGGACGCTCGCCCCACGAGGGGTCACAGCTCGAGATTGAAGAAGCCGCAAGTCCAGAAAACTGTGAGGGCAAACTTTTTCGGAGTGAGGGTTGTAAACTCTTGGAACAATCTACCAGAAAGTGTTGTGACGGCCTCACTTTCGGACTGCGCGGTGATTGACCCGTTACCGCCTTCACACCTTTCGAGCTGATCCAGCAGAATCATATAAATACCCCCCAGCCTCGCCATGACCCGAGGATCACACACCCAACACAGACAAAACCAAATACGTGCGCTATGCGCTAACCAAATAAACGCAGTCGTGTAAAGCCGCGGCACTATCTCTCCCACTACAATTCCCTTCCAAACCTCCTGCTCCTTCCTCTGTCCTCTTCCCCGCTCTGACCTTCGCTACCAACAACTTGGAGCTTCTAAACTTGAACCATGAAGGTCATTCTACTCAACGCTCTCAAACAGACAAGACCTCCTCTCAACAAGCTGCTCACCACACAGCAACTCCCTAACACTGCATTGTACATGCAATATATATTTATATGGAAAATGCCATTATGAGTTTCCCGTCTTACTTCCATCCTTAGTGGTGAGATCTCCTACGTGTACGTATGTATGTGAGCTTAACAAAGAGAAAATAGACAAACACAGAGAAATTTGACAACTGGCCCCATACAGTACGCTACAGGTTTCCTTTTAATTATTTAACTCTTGACGAATGACTTAATTGTGTACCCGTAGTAAGGTAGAAGCTGTCCTACACACCCTGAAGTCTTGGCGTTAGTTCTTGTATTTAGGGGATGCGAGTAATATTCTCCCGTTATCAGCTACAACATTGGGGGGGACTACAACAAGTACCTACAACACTGGAGAAGCAACAACTAAGCCTACTTAAGTCACCCCTTACCTGCCTATAATATAAGCTATAGGTATGCAACTACAGGTGTTCTAATATCTCTAGGTAACTGAGGTGCCGTAGTGAAGGTAGCAGTTTAGTGGCCTTCCTTTGGACATGTTTAATCAAGTGACGGTCTCTAGCATATCTCTGAAACCAGACGGGGTGACATAACAACAGACGGGGAAGCTAATGAGCCGATCAGTGGTGAAGACGATAAAAGAAAAGGAAAAGTATAAGATCCAATAAACTAGTTGCTTGATTCACCTTCTGTCAACAATGGTCCGATAAATATTAATTAAATTACATGAGGTCTTCATTTATATATAATTACTCAATAATTCGCTCATCATACTTCCTCTGTCTCATGGCGGTCGGTAGATAGTTTTTCCCAGGAGGTACATCAATATCATTATTATTATTATTATTATTATTATTATTGTTCAGACAACTTATTTTAAGCAATTTCTTAATACATGATCTTATTCTGATATGTGATGATAAAAATAAAATTGATTAGTCTATTTCTCTGAGAGTTAGTTAATATATGGTGATATAACTTATGCTTGTACTGAATTAGAAGAAATTCAACAATGATTATCAAGTTATTTAAATTATAAAAAAGTGCCGACATATATTTATATAATTAGTTATACATATACTAATAAATATAGATGGAGATAGTAGGCTTATTTCATTGATAACAATTATTAAGATTGACTTGAATAATAATATTATTAAGACTGTCTTGGGAAAAAAATGCCTACTGGTTCACATCCGCGATTTACCATGTCGTTAGTTACCACGAACAGAAACATTAAAATATTCATTATTTATTCAACATAATCTCATAAAAGGTATGAAATATTAATACTATAATTATAATAATATAATAATAAATTTAAAAGGTCATAATTATTTGATTATACTATAATAGTCAGAGGATAAAAATTATTTGCGACTTAGTTCGTGGTTAGTTTTAAGGATTTGGGAGTAACGGAACACATCAGGTGAGGGCGAGAAACAGATCTGGCTCAGTAATGTGTTGGCTGTCAGTGAGAGAGGATGAGTGCTGTGTCCTCTTTGTCTATTGCAGTACTTAGCGCCACTAGCAATACGAGAAATGGTACGTAAATAACATAAATACATGCATATATATGTATATCACCAGTCTATTTAACAATACACAAGAATTATGGGGAACCACGTGGAATAAAGTTTTACATTAGATTGAGGATACGTGTAGCACCTTAACCTATTCATGTATGACCTATTTTGGGTTTATTTTGACTAGTAGGTCATACAGGTCAAAAATTAACCCTATCGTGAGGTTTGGACCTTGTTGAGAGAGTGACAGGTCTTGGGTGTGAGTTATGGTGTGGGTTAATGTGAGATTCAAATTTGTTATGTTAGTTAATTGAGTAAAATAAATGGAATACAGTAATTTTAAAGTATTTTTTTATATATTTGAATTTTTACTGAGGGTAATATATAATGTATTAACGTGGTTGGTTATAATTAATTTATCCCATCCAAAATATATTAAGTTCATGATAATTTAGGTTAGGTTAGGTTAGGATAGTTTACGTTATGTTAAGCTAGATTAAGATGGGTTTAAGTTTGGTTAAGAATCGTTTTAACGCCTCCCTCAATTCCTATAGAAAGAGTTAATATTTTGTTGCTGCTTGGACTTGTTACGTTACCTGTCAATAGTCCTGGAGAGTCATTACTTTGGAGGTAATGTCGGAAGTTGAGTTATTTATCGTAAATACTCCTTATAAAAAGTCGCCGTGTGTTGTGTCTGTTAACAACCAACCTGCTCAATCCCAGCCACACTTTACTGTACACTAAACACGTAAAATTACACCAAATGAAGGTCAGATTTAAAGAAAGCTGACCAAAACACACTCGAACAATATATTTACCTGTAAAAAACGAAGGGGGCGTTAAAACGATTATTTACCATAAGTTTGGTGAGGTTAGGATAGATTATGTTAAGATAGATTAAGATATGTTAGGTTGTGTTAAGTTAATATGGGTTAGCTTAGGATAGGTTACATTAGTATGGGTAAGGTTATGTTAGGTTGGTTAATCTTTAGGTGAAATAAGCTGGGGTGGATATTCTCCCAGTGGCCCATATTCTGTGATTATTAATTTCTCTATTAATTTTATCACTAACATTTTATATTTATTTGTCATTTATAAAGTTCTGATTCCCTGATGTGTATACGATCATGTCTGTTATTATGTCGATTCTGGGTATATTTTCCCACTTAGATGATGTATACAGTTCAGTATATATCTGATGGTTTGTTATACTGTATGTATATATGTGTACTGTATACAAGGAAGGTGCTTATGATGAGTAAATTTTGTTTTATGCAACAGTCTTGTGATCTGTTACTGAGAGGAAGGTGTGGACCAACTAAATTGACCATTATTTAGCCAAGAAATATAACCAAACTTCAACTGCTCAGTCTTATGTTTATTTGGGTTTATTTGAGTTGTATCTCGTGTCGTTAGAACCGAGTCACAAAATGGAGTACTGTACTTACTGTATTTTATTGATGTGGCATTACAAGTTTGTAATATCATATTTGTGCTTTCCTACAGATGTTTATTACATATGGTATTATTCTTTATTTATCATTTCCTCATTTATCAGCTAACTTGCTTTTTTTGGGCGGTTGGTCTGTTCTTTGTTATGGGCTTTATTTGTCACGTGATAGTACAGGAGGAAACTGCAGTACTGTACACTGAGAGAACCTGCCATGTCTGGTAGTGAGGGTCACAGTGTATAACACCCTTCTCACGTGTGTTTGGGCCAGGCAAGACTCAACCTCATAACTTAGCATTGACAGATACTGGTGTTGCTGCTGTACTGTGCCACCATCTCCCATAATAGTGCTTAACCCTTAAATGGCAGCCTTGTCAGTGGATGATACCTGTAGAGACAGTGGATGTTTCATGTTCCTTGCCTTCCAGTTTTGTGCATATGGGGGCAGATTGGGGGTTATAAATTAGCTGCGGATGTTTGTGATAATCTTATTGACCTAAATGAGACTCAATCCTGTTTTGGTAAATTAAGGGTGAACAACCAAAGCTTATTTATGTTTTTCATAAAAAAAATCAGTAAAATTTTTGTTTTGATGCATAGATGTAAATCCATTGACTGTCCAGTATAGGAAAACACTTTGATTTTAACTACATTACTTGAGAAGTATCAGAAAGACTGTGTTCTCCATGCCTCTGGTAATAAAATAATAAACATAGTTACTGTGTACTGCCCAACATGAGTGCAATATATATGGATTTGTTGGCAGTACTTGCTCAAATTAACTAAATATCAATTACAATCATTGGTCTTATTGTCAGTACATGTACAGTAGTTGAGTGATGGTGTGTTTTCATTCATCAAAGGTACAGAGGTCACAGCATACTTGCTGCTTCTCAATTACTGTACAGTAAACTAAGTGTTCAACCAACCAAGCAGTAACACGTGTATCTCCCACCACTGTGTCCAGGTTCGGGAGTGATATGAAATGGGTGTTCTCCAGTGACACTACCAGTCACCTTAGTAAGCTGATAAGTGGTACAATAATTAATAGATAAAATAAGAAAATAGAAATCTCCACTGTATATGAACCGTCCAGGGGGGATTGCCCAGCTGTGTGACTTGATATTGTGGAACGTAAAGTTTTCCCCGTGGGAAGTTAACTCCTGTCAAATTTGATATGTTGAAGCCCGTGACATTTTGTGACTTTTAACCATCATGGAAAGAAATCATGTGGCTTATGTGTATGTCTGTAAGAAGTAGAATTATATATACTGGACAGTTTTTATCTACAACTAATTGTTGAAATTTTGTCCTTCTTCAGGGTTTGGTCGTGTGTCACAGACTGGCGGTTTGGTGCTGCGTCGACCCTGGCACAGTAGCGTGGTGTCTGCACGAGCCATCCCCGAGGTCACCGCAGCTTGCAGCATCGCCCATGGTAACTTAGCCAGTGGGTGGGTGACACGAGGGCCAGGCCAGCACCATGGCCACTCTCAGGCCGCCACGCCGGCGGTGTTTATATCTCCGGCTCTCCACGTGTCGTACACGACCGTTCACGTGCCGTATTATCGTGCGTTCCACACGTCCCCGAGAGCCTGGGAAAAAGAATCGTCAAAGCCATCATCACAAGTTGAAGTGACAGTTAAAGATCTCAAAGAAAAAGCCAAGGCAGCTGGGTCTCCCATGGCTACTGATAAAAAATTAGAAGTGGTGGAAAGAAAGTCACTTGGTGTGAGAATTAAAGAAGAAATCTTACATTATTATCACGGCTTCAGGCTCCTCTTCATCGATACCAAAATCTGCATCAGATATGTCTGGCGGCTCGTCAATGGTGAAACGTTATCGAGAAGAGAACATCGACAGGTAATGTGTTGTGTCTTGTTTTATTCTTAACACATTCATCATGTTGATAGTTGTGGATCACCCCAAGCATCTTCACCTCAGCTTATTTCACCTAAAGATTAACCACCCAGACATTAATTTAACCTCACCCCTCAAATAGTGTTAAGGTGGTTAATCTTGAGGTCAGTTAAGCTGGGGTGGAGATGCTTCAGGTGATCTATAATTGCTTTGGTTTTATCAGGCAGTAATGAGTACAGTACCTATGGAGAATATATTTGCCTCCCCTTGCATTTTTCAGCACTGTATCCCATAAGTACCAGACTGTAGATAGTGTATTTGCATATATTCCATTGTATCTTTAGTTCTTCCTGTAAGCTCAATCAGTATTTAAATTTTCTCTAACTGGATTATTAAACTTCCGTCCAGCAATATCAGTTTATAGTTTTATTACTCAACAGATAATAAGTTGTTGAAGTGCAGTACAATAATAACATAGAGAGTCAGAGGTAAAAGTATAAAAGAAAACCTCATTACACAAAGGACGTGACGCGTTGGTCCTACATGGTAAATCAGTCATTAGAATTAAGAAATATATGACATGGTTATTAACTTAATCTTACATTATTACTGTATACATTGATGGTACAATTCATCATTTACTCTTAAATCCCAAATCATTAAAATCGTGTATGTTCTGTACTGTATTTTGTTGTTATCCGTTGGTTGGTTTTTATTGTAAAGATCTAATTTTATTCCATCTTGAACCTCCCTATACTGTTTGTGAAAGGTTCAAAGAAAGAATGTATGTGGCTGGTGTGTGTGTGTGTGCACGCATGCGTGTGTGTGATTGAAGTGTGGTGTTGTAAGGTAGTGAAACTTGGGCAGTTAAGGAAAAATATATTCTGGGCTTTTAAAGAAATATGTAAATAAAAAACAAAGAATCGCCTGAAGAATCTCCCCCCCCCCTCCCCCAGCTTATTTTTTTCACCTTAAGATTAACCAACCTAATGCTATTTGGAGTGATGAGGTTAGGCTAGTGTTGGGTTGGTTAATCTTCAGGTAATCCATTTTTTTTCATTTTCATCTTACTCTTAAGAGCCGAGAATGTGTTTTGTATAAAATATTAATGTTGTGTTGATGTGGCAGTTGTTGTCTGTGCTGCCGGTACTCATACTGGTTCCTGACACTTGAGCTTGTGGGGCTACAGGAACCTTTGTAGCTACTGTACTCTGCTGTACTTTGTTGCTGCTTCTCACCTGGTGGACTGTACCTACCTACAACATGAATGCTTTTATTTAATTTTTATTTTTTTTATAATTTTCACCATGTCTTCACCAAAGAAGACCTCACACATCAACAAGTGAGGATGGTGTACTGTTGTAATATACAGTATGTACAAATATTCATGCGATCGCCATGAAAAATCTTGTAAGGCGGTGTGTATAGAATTTTCTGAAACACCCTGTATTTGGCCTTCACACAACTATGAGACGGCTTCCTGTAATTACTGTACTAGTTTTCTTGAAGTTTTAATCGAATTTGAAGGATAAATAATAATGTGTGCTGTATATTCTCAAGTATAACAATACAGGATATTACAACATCAGTGGATTGAGTGTATAATGAATTGCTAGGTCATGAGCACTGTACCAAACTTATGTCGGGATTACATGCTGTGTTTTAAAGTGACTATGTTAATTATTGAATATTTTATATACTGTTCTCAAATTATAATAATTTCGTTGCTTAAGTGCGGTAATATGGTGAGCTATTTTAGTTTTTACCATAAATCCGCTCTGTATATATGCCCAGGGCAGACCAGAGACCAACAATTACTAAAAGTGAAAGTAGTTCCTCCTTGACGGTGTTCAACCTTCTCTCTCCATCTCCCCGCCCAGACAGCGTGGCGCCCTTTATACATCTATTGCTATTTTTAATATTAAGTAGCAAGATATAAATGGGTTGTAAATGTGAACTGTAATCTAGATTGAAATTAACTTTGTGCATGTGCTGTCTGCTCTGAGCATCGGTAACGTTAAAGTTTTCCTAGAAATACTGTATATTATTAACCTTATAGGTCAGAGGACGGTCCCCGCACTGCACGTGAGTTGGCGCTGGTACCCTGGTTTGGCGTTATGGCTAGTGACAAGAAACACTGAGTGAGCCCAAAGGAATTTTGTATCGTTGGAGGGGTTTGTGTGCGTAGTAGATTAAAACCTCCGTGAAGTTCCTTAGTGGTGTTACTTTTCCGGAAGTTACTTGACCTATACTTCGTCCGTCGTAGTTCAAGGCTTCCGTTTTATAATTTCAGGTTATTTGGTTCTGATATTTATTTAGGCATGCTGCTGCTTCAGATAATTTTATAGTCATGGCTAAATTTGGCGAGGGGGCATATGACATTTCCAAGCCTTTCGTGTGTGTGTGTTAAGACCAAAAGGGGAAGGAAATTGACTTGCTGCTTATCAGTTTATTCGTTATTAAGGTATTTCGTGTGTGATATAATTCAAATCCTCATAATTAAGAGTTTTATCGGGAACATTACCACACCTTATCTATATGTGTGCAGTACATTCTCTGGTTGGTATCATCTTAAACACTGATAATAATACACGTGTCATAAACTGATAGTGTTCACCACCGTCATAAAACAAGATGGAAGGAAGGGATAGTTATATGTGGTGACTGTGGGTGACGTCATATATTTGGCAGCAGTGGGAGGGCAGGTTGGGTACGGTAGTTACTGTACGTCACGGGCAGGGAGGGAGGGAGGGGTAACATGACTGCTGCCGTATGCCCTCAGCAACACGGTGATATCTGCTGATTACATCTCGCCTGCCTGGTCGCTCTGAAAATAAACGATATATAAGTTAAGCGGTTTTAACTAATATCTACTATGCTAAGGTTTATTTTGGGTTGTATGTTTATAAAAGTTCATTATTCCTCGCTCTTCCTCCTTTTCCAAAACATATCATTCCACGGAGCCATTAAAAAAAACAGACTTGGTATTTAACAAGACATGGAAGCGTGATTCTTTTAATATTTAAAGACAATCACAGTGTGGAAAATAATTAAAATTGGGGAATATTTGAGAGCAAAGGTGTGTGTGTGTGTATAGATGTGTTGCAAGTGGGTGGCAGCTATATTGGCGCATCAACAAGACAAAATTGAAGATCTTTAAACCATGTTATGAAAGATCTATTAACCCCAGTTGAACATATCAATTATGGTAGTTACAATGCTTGGTGGTGAATGGTTGGATAAATGGTCAATATATCCGTAACCCAAGTGATGATGGGTGGGGCTGTTATCTTTGTTATCGTGGTGATTTGGTGAGTGGCTTTTTGTAAGTGTCCGGATGTGTCTAACTCCTACGTAATTTGATTATCTCTGTCTTTTACTGTCTTGGGGGTTCACTCACGCACCTTCCACTTACAGCGTGATGGTGACCCACAGCTGATAGGTGTTGGGGGGGGGGGAAGTGTACCCTAATCGTCAAGTGTATTTTAAAGTGTTTTGGATTGATTGGGAATTTTTTATTTATATTTTGTTCTCGAAGATTTCGAAGTGGATGATGATATGAGCATAGTTTATGTTTTAGTAATTGAAGCTTTAAATGAAACCGCTATCTCTACCTTAAATGATCTGATTATTATTATTATTATTATAACAACAACAAAAACATCACTTTCGTTTGAAAATTTATTGGGATGTTTACCATGATGCACGCGCACACACACACACAGGAATAATGCATGTGTGTGTATGGTTACAGACAGGTTATAAGTACATTATTATTCACCCCCACACATATTAGGCTTCCTTGGCGTTCGTTAACTCTTTGTGAGTCCATTTGCCGGGAACAGATCTCGGTACTTCCTGCGGTATAGATGGGAAGACGTCATGGATACTGACCAACTTATTGTTAGTAGTAGGAGCTAGAACTCGCGTTGTATCCATCTTAGTATAATACACCTGTTATCTAGTGAGTGTTACATGACAGCAGCAAGTAATTGGAGTCGGTTAGGTAGAGAGAGGACGGGTGATAGTTAGCATAGCAACTGGCGAGGAGGAAGAGGTGACGGCAGAGAGATACAATGCATTCAGTACAAGCATTATGGTGAAGTGACATTAGCATAGATAACTTGGTGAAGGCAATGAGATGTAAATATTAAGACATAACCTCGTGAACCAACTGAGTTTAGAGAATGTTATCGCTGGTATTGGTGGGATGGATGCCAAGTATAGGGGCAGTAGTGTAGTCATGTTGGACCAGACCCCTCGGCGCCTGTCCTGGACTACTGTAATGTCTCCACTCTACCTACCGTGTCTTAGCAAGGGAGATTATTATTACTGTATTAACTTGGCGACTTCGCATTTTATTAATATTGTCTCGTGTGTGTGTGTGTTTAACGATGAATCACTCGCACTTTCCGCTAATATTATCCTTATATATTTCACAACAGGAAGAGAGAGAGAAATATCACTGCTGGTATAGTGTTGACTCCTGGATATAGTCGCTTTATAGGGAGATATGTGAGCGTAAACTTTAGGTTGTGATTATCCTCTTGTCTTATATCAAGTTGTTGAGATATTGTCAGGATTGTCTGGTGTTCTCTGTCTTGACTTGCCAGAGGACACTGTGTGGTAGAAAAAGTTGTGCTGCTTTTAACTGATATGGGTCGACTAAACTACAGTTATTACCTGCACTATACTGTGATGAAGTACTTGTAACGCCACCTCCCCACACCAGATCCTCTAACTACCGCCCAATCAGTCTAACATCAATAGTAGGCAAATTACTGGAAGCAATCATTTCAAACTATTCGAAATCACCTGGAGAAGCACCGATTGATCAATGATTCCCAGGATGGCTTCACAAGCATCTTAATTTGCACTCCCTTGAGAGACGTAGAGCGAGGGGAGACCTGATAGAGGTGTATAAGTGGAAGGCAGGGCTAAACAAAGGGGACATTACTAAGGTACTCAAACTATCCAACCAGGAGCGAACTCGTAACAATGGT